AGATAAAAAGATCTTTTTATCTTATTTAATTATATAAAATCTTAATCTTTATTTAATATTATAAATTAATAATTTATTAATAGATTTAAAGATTTTAATATAATCTAAATAATAAATTTTATTCTTATATTTATAAGATATTAAGAAGATATTTAGATAAAAACTAAAAAAATATATAATATTATATAAAAAAAAGATTTATTATTATAAGATTTAGAGAATAATATATATATAATATAAAATCTAAATATTTATATTTTTATATTATTAATATAAGTATTTAAGATAAAAAAAATATAATTAATAAAAAATATATATAATCTTATATTATTTTATTTATCTAACTTTTTAAATAATAAAATATAAATAAATATTAATTTATATTTATATTAAAAAAAATTAATACTAAAAAAAGATTAAATAATTAATTCTAATTTATTATTTAAGATTTTAGGATTTTTAATTAATTAAATAATAATAAAAACTTAATAAAGATTAATTTAATCTTATATTTTTATATTTATAATAATAATTTAGATATTATTAATTTATAAAAATTAAGATAAATAAGAAATAAGAATAATAAGTTTTTTAATATTAAATAAAGATATAATAAAAGAAATAAAAGATTAATAAAAAAAAAAAACTTTAGAAGAATAATAAAAAAAGAATAAAATTTTAGAAAAATCTAAAAAATAGACTTTAATAAAAAATTAAGTTCTTAATAATAAAAATCTTAAATTAATATTATTTAATAAGAAAAATAGATTTTAAATTATAATTTAAAAGAAATAAACTCTTAAAAAAAAGACTTAAAGGATTATTTTATTTAATCTTAAGATTAATTTTTAGATTAAATAAATACTAAGCTTATAATTATTAAGATTTAAAAAAGAGACTATCTTATAATCTTAGTATAATATTAAGATATAATAATATATATAATTAATAGTATATAATATAGTTATATAATATAATATTAAAAAGGATAATAATTATATAATTAAAAAAGACTTAATATTAGATTTAATAAGAAGAAATAAAGAAATAAAAGAAATAAGGGCTTCTAGAAGAAAGAATAAATAAATTCTAGCTTATTATATAAAATATATAATATAAATTAAATACTAACTTTAGCTTAAATCCTATAATAAATATAAGATTCTTATTTTATTTAAGTAAGAGATTTAAGTTATTTAAATAATATAAATAATATATAAATATAATAAATATAATTAATAAAAGAGTAGTTAGTATAAGTAAGTATAATACTATAATATAGAGGGAAGTAATATATATAATAAGTATATAAAAGGAGGGGAATAGGATAAGTCCTATATACTAATTAGTAGATTATATTACTAATAAGTATTAATAAGGTATTCCTTAATTAATCTTATAATATAGTATATACTATACTTATAATCTAGCTATAATAACCCCTTAATTCTAATAAGTAATCTCTAGTATTCTTATTAAATATTTAAATAATCTAATCCTTAGGTATCCTTATCCTAAAATATCTCTATAATCCTTATTCTAAAGATAATAACTAATTAATAAAATATATAAGTAAGTATATAGTATAATATTATTATAATTAATGGGTAGGAGGGCTTAAAGATCTAGCTAATTAGAGCCCTCTAATAAGGACCCCCCTTAATAAGTAAAATTAATTTTATTATATACCCCCCCTAAAATTTTTAGTACTATAAGAAATATAGGCTCTTACTCTGCTTTACTCTATTTAAGTAATATTCTAAGAGAATAAGAAGAATAAGTCTACTAGGAAGAAGAGGATAAATAATATAATATAGTAGTATTAAGAGGTATAAGAAAGGAAGGAAGAAGAAGAGAAGAAGAGAATAAGCTATCTAATATCTATATAAAGAAGAGTAAGAGTATAGAATCTATAGATCATATAACAGACTAAGTAATTAAATACTAATATTAATATAATAATATTTATATATAAATTAGATTATTAATAAAGTTTTAGTCTTAGTTTATGTTTTTTATTTAAATAGAATAAGAATCTTATACTTATTATATGATTTAAGCTAAAGATAGTAGAGATTCAGATTCTTTTATTATATTCTTTATATATAATTTAAATCTTATTTTTTCTTCTAGAATCCTATATTCCTTCTATTCCTTCTATTCTTTATTTATTTATTATATCTAATATTAATATCTTCTCCTCTGATTATATATATTACTATATCTTAGTAATCACTATCTTTCTTAGTGATTCCTACTCTTCTTAGTAGTTACTATCCTTCTTAGTAATATATACCCTTATCTAAGGCCCTAGGAGCCTTATCATCTTAAATCCTAATAGAGTTTGATTATATGACTTTATCTGGTGGAATATAGGTTGTTTTTTATTACTTTTTAGGCTTATTCTTTTATTAAAAATAGGTTATTTCTTTATCAAACTCCATATCATATTCCTTATTTCTAAGTTTATATAGGTATAGGACTCTCTAGTACCACTAGGGCCTGATCTATATTACTATAGTAATAATTAGCTAGGTAGTATTAGGGAATTCATTATTCTTATTATTATTTTAAGAACTTAAGTTTAGGTCCTAGCCTATAATAAGTATATTTTTAAAATTATATATTTTTTTAATATCTAGAAATATAGTAATAAATCTAGTAGATAAAACTTATTTAACAGAACATATTTTACCTAGGCTACTATCCTAGGTAAAAGAATCTTTGTATTCTCATATACCAGAAATGTCACCCAGGTACTAGGTAAAACCCGTAAAAGATTAGGGCCAAGACCCTTATAGAAGCCAGCAAGCCCTTCACGAGCCCAGACCTGCCTAATAACATCAGTAGCACCACGATACATCAAGTGGGCCTCATATGTCTGTAATCGGGACCGTATCACCTGGTATGGATAAGTGGCACACCCCGCGAAAAGCTTTGAGAGGCTGGACAGCACAAAAAAATCCATGTTGTCAAGTTGCCGTGCCCCATTTCCATCTTCCACCTGTTGGGAAACCCCATATGTTTTCTGAGACCGTAGAATTTTTAATCGGTCATAGGCCATGAACTGAAGAGCACCGTGGCTGACTCCAAACAAGGCAGGAACAAGACCTCGATAGAAACCTGGTATGCCCTCGGTATGGTAGATTTGCCTTATCCCCGACGTGAGAGACGAGTAGGCACCTGGATATCGGGAGCCTGTTGAAAGCATGCGAGTCTTGATCACCCAGATTGGGTTGGTCAAGAGAGATGTAAGGGCACCTAGGCACGATACTAGTTAGAACCAGTGAAGAGCTCTACTAAGCTGCCCGGGGCCTACCCACCTGCGGTTCCTGAAGCCATAAAATAATCAAAGGATGTAAGGGCCAATGGACTGCCCCTGTATGAATACATGGCGTCCTTCAGACCGCCATAAAGAAGGAAGTATAAAGCCCAGCTAGTGGAATTCCCAACTAGGTTCGGAGCCAGTCCACGGTAGAAGGCAGTAAAGCCGCCTTCATGTCTCGAAATATCACGGATGATTTGCAATGAAGTACCGAAACGAGATGTCGCACTGCGATCCACTGAATAAACCATAAATGTCAGATGGTAGAAAGAAAGTGGGACAGAGGGTGCCAGCGATACCCTGGAGTCTGGTTTTTACCAGATCTAGTGGATGGAGGCAGAGTGTTGAGACAACCCCTGCAGTGAAACCCGCTACGGTCTCCACAAAGGATGACAACAAGCCATCTTGACCCGTCATGAACCAAGTAGGTTTGAAGGATTCAATGAGTGTGGTTTGGCTTGGTGATTGGTGAAGTTCGAAGCTATTGTTTTTTCTTCTGTTGCGGGATTCCACCGGTTTTCTGCCGCGCGGATGCGGAGAGAGAGAGAGAGAGCGAGAAGAGGCAAAAGGGTCATATGTTGGTAAAAGCTGGACAATATTCATAGGAGCTTGAAACTATACAGGATATAATGGATTCCATGATTTGATTTTTTATCATCTTAAAAGTACAGGGGGTTTACAGCCGGAATTTTACAGAAAAAGCCAGCCATATTATAGCTCCGGAGGTCAACGGAGGAACTGCATGTTCTCTCGGGCGTGTGAGGTGAGTCTAGAGAATCCCATTCGTCTCGGAGATCGAGGTTTTGTGAATCTAAGCCAGGGGCGAGAACAACCTGATGGTCGGGTTAGAGAAGTCCAGCGTGTAGGTGGAGGGAAACGTCGAAAATTGTCGCCGGAGTTCATTTTGGAACATACTTGAACAGAGATGGCTTGGGTTCGCTGTAAGAGTACCCTATTGTTTGTTTTTTTCGAGTCAGTCAAGTCCCTTAACCGCGACATATATTTCGACTTACCCAGGTAGATAATAAGAGGGAGGTAGCCGCTGATGCGATCACTAGATTAGTCCCGGCCGCAGATGGATGAAAGGAACAGGTCAAGGAAGTGGTGGTATAGGGCTCACTAGTGAATCGCAACTCGCGAGATATCAATGACCTTGGAAACGCGCTCCTACAAGATCAAAAATCCCATACATTAGCCATACTGAAAAGTAAATCATGTTGGGTTGCTTTTTCAAGACGATTACCAACCTTGGTCTCTTCGGAGAATTGAACCATCTTGGTGATAGTTGCGAGGGTGGTCCTTTGAATCAAAGACAAGGAAGAATAATGAAAAGAAGATAAGATCACAAGAAAATTAGAGAATATTAAGAGAATATTCTCGACCCAGCTCAGATGTTAAAAGGTGGATGGAGGAAGAGTGAAGGAGAGATGGTCAAGAGTGGATGTGGTTGCGGGAGAGTTGTCAAGGTTCAGAAGTTTTCGGCGCGCGGAAAGTGACCCAAGATCGAGCTTCTTCTAGTCTTCCAACCACCACGAATTCCTCTCTACCAACCCCACCAAGTCCCTTGTCCTATCAATCCGACTTCTTGTTCCCCAAGCTACTCACACGCCGTTTATTGCAATAAGCTACTTTCATTTCTACCCTTCCACAGCTTCTTCCCCGGCTACACAGCGCCATGTCCGGCGCAAGGCATTGGTAAGATCCTCCTAGGTCCCCGCGCTGGGATCATACGGCTAACTAAGCATAGGGAACAGGACAAGGAGGCTACTGTATACATTGGTAATCTTGATGAGCGCGCATCAGATAGCCTAGTGTGGGAGCTCATGCTCCAGGCCGGGCGCATCGTGAACGTACATTTGCCCAAAGACCGTGTCACCCAGTCGCATCAAGGGTACGGGTTTGTGGAGTTCATCAGTGAAGAAGATGCAGAGTATGCCTCGAGGATAATGAATGGTATTCGCCTTTTTGGGAAACCAATTCGCGTGAACAAGGCATCGGCCGACAAACAGAAATCCGTGGAGATTGGCGCGGAGCTCTTCGTCGGTAACCTCGATCCTATGGTCACCGAGCAAGTTCTTTATGATACATTCAGTCGCTTTGGAAACCTCACCAATCTTCCCAAGGTCAGATCCAGCCTCCTGCTCACATTAGGACTGTGTATTTTAAGAATAAGCTGACCTCGTATATAGATCGCTCGTGACGACAACAACCTGTCTAAAGGCTATGGCTTTGTGTCATTCGCGGATTTCGAATCCTCCGATGCAGCGATTGCCAATATGAACGGCCAATATCTGATGAACAAGCAAGTATCGGCACAATACGCCTACAAGAAGGATGGTAAAGGAGAAAGGCACGGTGATGAGGCAGAACGAATGTTGGCCGCGCAGGCCCGGAAGCACAATGTTCGACCACCAACTCAGCAAGCTCCACCAGCCTTTCCTGGAGTGGGTTCGGGTGCTGCACCACCTCTCATTCCGAACGGTGATGGCTCTCGACCTGTGAGCACTGCGCCCCAAGCATCCGACCCTAGCATGGGTCGAAGTATGCCTCTGGGCTACCAAAACGTGCCTCCTCCACAAACCCGTCCTAACCTGGGTCCTTCATCGCTCACCACTCCACCGCCCGGTTTACCTGCCCGCCCACCGCCATCTCAAGCTGGATATGGCGGTCCTCAGTCTTACCTTCCCACTGGATTCAACGGTACGGGCCAGCAGCCACCTCTCGCACCACAGAACGCGCCGCCGCCTGGATTTGCCCCACCCCCCGGCTTCGGACCCCCAGCAGGTGCACCAGGTGCTCCGCTTCCTCTCCCACCGGGCTTTCAACAACCAGGACATGGAGCGGGCCGATGAGCACCGCTGTTTTGATCAGCGTTAAACATTTTCTTCATCTTGTTTTCAATCCCCCAGTCAGGTGTCTTAGATAGCTACCCTACTATAGTCCTTGAAGTATGACCATATGATCTAGACAGGAAAATGCTTGATCTATTGATAGGATGCTTTTTCAGGCCTTGAAACCCAGGGCAGCTAGCTTGCGATGCATCCTTCAATATAGAGTCATAAATGAAGCTATAATCATATCTTCGAACAGCCATGTATGTGTAGTACTAGTATAAAGGTCAGACGGCTTCCCCTAAATTGTCTTGCACTACATACATAAACGATTCTCTTTCACCCACAAATGCATGTACGCACATATGGGAGATAGAGAGATAAGTGCTATTGATGTACCTATATATATATAGGTGTTATTGAATGTAAAACTTGATATGCTATTACGCAAGCCTGGATACGGATAAGAGTGCCAGAATCAATAGTTCGTGAGCTCCTTTCTGGACAATGTAGACCTGCAATAGACATGAGGATAACTGGAACAACCAAGTCAATAAACAGAAAAGAAAAGTGTAGTCTGGGGATTGACATGCAGTAGATGCCCTGGCCGACTCATGAGAAAGAGACGAATTTAGGATCCCGGGGTCGACCGTCAGGTCCGATGTTATTACGTGCAAATCGTTGTTCGGTATAGATGCGCCGGGCCTCATCAAAATTGACTTTGCGAGTTTTCATGATTTTTTGCACTTCATGCTTTGCTCTTTGGTCTAGGCCAGCTCTAAGGTCCCCATCGGCGAGATTAGCTGTGATGTCGAAATGCGATGAGCTTAGGCCCGCTTCCAGATCGCCTGTAAAGCTGGAGGGGAGGTGATGGTAGATGTAATCCGGGACTGGCAGTAGGTGGATCCATCGAGATCGGGTAAGGTACAGAGCTGGAGATATTAGTCGATGGTCTTAGAGCATAGTTTCACATAATATACGTGTATACACATATAGAGAGAGAGAGAGGGAGAGGGAGCGGGAGAAGAAGAGAGAGGACAAGAGAGATTAGAATCAAGCTTACCTGTACCCAAGATGATGACGGTGAATAAAAGTGCATAGAAGAGAGTGTAGGTCATGTTGGCCAATTATCAAAGGTGGATTGAGCCGTTGACACCTGATCTACAGAGAGAGAGAGAAATAGTGATATCGACCACGGATTCTCCCGTAGAGAAAAGGAACGCGTTCGTCATCGTTTTTGACAGCCTTATTTATCAGGCACTCAGGACAAGACGTCGACGTCATGAGTGATCTGATGCCTGAGGTAAATGGCATCAGGTCTATACCCAAAATGGCGGGCTTAGCGAGGCTCATGGAAACTGCGCTTCACACACCAAAAATCACGGGCTTTGATATCATTCTCAATCATTTTGAATCCCAATCCGTCATAATGGCCGCCGAACGTACCAATGTCTCTAACGACCTGATCTGGCAGATCGTCCGTATGTTTTTCTATTATGGAAATTTTATCGGAAGCTGATCCGCTGGGGAATAGGTAACCAGAACTCCTATCTGGTCCGCCGCAACACTGGTGGTGGCTCGCAGTTCTCCCGGGATCCCTTGAACCTGGTCAACAAGCACTCTTTCAAGGTATGGAGTGGATATTAACAGTCCCGCCCTTTTTTTGAGGGGGAGGGGCCGCTATCTAGTGGAATTGTGGACTGACCCGAGCTTTTGGGCTTTTTTTTTTTGACAGTATGCCGGCTTTGTCAACAACAAGGTATGTTAACTATATCTCCTCCACAGAGCCCCCCTTTTTATTTTATTTTTTTTTTTTAAAAAAAAGATTGTTCTATGGATCCTAACTCCTCTTTGTTCAGGCTATCGGTGTCCAGGCCGCTGAGAACGGTGGTGTCAATGTGATCACCAAGAAGACTGCCACCCCCCAGCAACCCGGAAAGACCGAGGTCATCGTGAACTACGGACCTAAGACCTCCACCCGCAAGTAAGCAGGCCATCTAGATCAACCGCATTTCATCTCAAACCAAGCGATATTGATCACAATCACAGGATCTACAAGGGTGTTGCCGCCAAGACCGCTCTGAACGGCTACCGTGCCGATATTCGTGAGGAGGCTGTCGCCCGTGTTAGCGCCGTCCGCCGCTCGCAGCTTCCCAAGAAGGACACTCCTGTCCGCCAGCCCCGTAGTGTCAAGGCCCGCAAGGCTGCTCAGAAGGACGAGTAAATTTACTCTCCGAGTACCATAGGGTCAAAGACTCGGAGAGAGCGGGTTGGACCGGATCTGATTGGCGCTTAGAGACCGTCACCATGCTGGATAATCCCAGTAGAGGCGTCCTTGTAAATTAGTGACTTTCTTTTTCCACGCAAGAGTAGTTAACTGCTCTCTAATCCTTCTTTCTGATTTTTTTTTCTCTTTCATTTCATTTCAATTTTTTTTTAAAAAAATTATAAATAGAACAAAAGGAAAGTGGGAGAAGAAGAATAGAGGTAAGACCAACAATTTCTCTTGCCCTCTCTCTCCGCCACCAGAAATCTCTCTCTATATGGGGAATAAACTGGCTCACGAAATACAGCGGCAAAGTTCTCAACCTTCGGAACCGAACTTGGAACATATACAATAAGTAGATGCCCAAACTGATTCCGAGTAGACTAACCGACGGGCCGAATATACAGTAGAACGTACACGCAAACTCGGATGTATCCATAGGCATTTGAGCCTCGGGTCTGGACCAGTGGGGAAGAAGAAAAAATGATGTCGTTTAGACCGTGACGTAGGAACTGCCCCAGATAAATCCCGCCTTTTCCCGACGATGGAACCCGGAGATGAATTCACGGGCAAAGACGAGAATCATCGGACAAGTCGGGTGGAGAAGTTGAGGAAGGTGGAATAAAACAATACATGGATGTATATGGGGTTACGGTAATCTGGTAACTAAAGTCCAGTCTAAACCTACTCGAGGTTACCGGTCTACATATGTGTAGGGAAAGAGGATGGGAGAGAGAAAGATTACTGAATACATTGTTTTCCCCTGTTTCAGTAGAAGAATATATACCAAATAAACATTAATTATCAATATACAGGATATATATATAATCATTAAGAATCTGGGAATACTAGTAAAAACCCTTGAAATACAGTCCAATACCAATGATACTGCATCTGTAATCAATCCCAAGCTTCCCAAGCTTGGTCCCACTTGGTCAATTCCGGGGTTTCTTACATCTCGTACCTGTTAAGTCTTGCCCCTCTTTCCTCTTCCCCCCCCACCACTACCATATTAAACCCAGCTGCTTTCCCTTCCTCCTCTTGTTCCTTTCAATCTTTCTCATAATACCCCAAACGCATTCACACATATACCCTCCCCTCCTTCATAATGGTTAAAGCTGGTAGGTTTCTTCATTGGTTTTCCATCTACATCAATCTAATCTTGCCCCAGTTGTTCTTGGTGCCTCTGGCGGCATTGGCCAGGTAAGTACCTTCTTTCTCGTCTTCGGAAAATAAAACCAAACTGGCTTTTTTGCTAATCATTTCTAAATAGCCCCTCTCCCTTCTGCTGAAGGCGTCCCCTCTGGTTGATGAGCTTGCCCTTTATGATGTTGTCAACACCCCCGGTGTTGCCGCAGACCTTTCTCACATCTCTTCCGTCGCCGTATGTTTTCTACGCAGAAAACCCTTCCTTCTCCAATTAAGAAAATATTATACTGATGGGACCCCCTTCTTCTTTTTACCTAACAGAAAATCACTGGATACCTCCCCAAGGATGATGGCTTGAAGAACGCCCTGACTGGTGCTGATATTGTGGTTATCCCGGCTGGCATTCCCCGTTAGTTATTTCTCCTTTCTCCCCAGCCTAAAATAGGCGAGCGCACCCTAACGACTTTATAGGCAAGCCTGGTATGACCCGTGATGACCTTTTCAAGATTAACGCCGGAATTGTGCGTGATCTGGCCAAGGGTATCGCCGAACACAGCCCCAAGGCTTTCGTTCTAGTCATTTCCAACCCTGTCAACTCCACTGTTCCTATTGCCGCAGAGATCCTCAAGGCTGCCGGTGTCTTTGATCCCAAGCGCCTGTTCGGTGTGACCACTTTGGATGTGGTTCGTGCTGAGACCTTCACCCAGGAGTTCTCGGGTCACAAGGATCCCTCCAAGGCTACCGTGCCGGTCATTGGTGGTCACTCCGGCGAGACTATTGTCCCCCTGTTCAGCAAGGTTTCCCCGAGCTTCCAGATTCCTGCGGATCGTTATGAGAAGCTGGTCAACCGTAAGTTTTGAATATCCCCGGGTCCCCTTTTGTTGTCTATTTCAATCGTTAATATGTCCCCCACAGGCGTTCAGTTTGGTGGCGATGAGGTTGTGCAGGCCAAGGACGGCGCTGGCTCTGCCACCCTCTCCATGGCTTTTGCTGGCTTTAGGTACAGTCCCATGCTTCCCTTCAACGATTTACACACCACTAATCTATCACAGATTTGCCGAGGCTGTGATCAAGGCCTCTAAGGGTGAGAAGGGCATCGTTGAGCCTACCTTTGTCTACCTGCCCGGTGTTCCCGGTGGCGATGCCATTGCCAAGGCCACTGGCGTTGAATTCTTCTCCACTCCCGTGGAACTGGGCGTAAGTCGTTGATACATACCTCTCAGAATAGTGATCAAGAAGATCCACTACTAACGAATTTTATAGCCCTCTGGTGCCGAGAAGGCTATCAATATCCTGGACGGTGTGACCGAGCGCGAGCAGGAGCTTCTTGCGGCCTGTATCGTCGGCCTGAAGACAAACATTGAGAAGGGCGTCGAATTCGCCAAGAACTCAACCCCAAAGTAATGCTGCACCTTCCCCCCCCCCCCCCCCCCCCCCCCCCCCTGCCCCCTCTCCAAATCCTATATTGCCGAGTGTCCTTCGGCTTTTGATCCCCTCACCTCCTCATAAAATGGCCGAGCATTGCTAATTATGGTCATCTCGGAAAGATAGGCTTTAATCGTGAGACCATGAGATTATGAAAGAACGGACATGTGAGCCGTAATCGTGTGGCTAGGGTTTCGCTCGCAAGAATAGCAGAGATTAAACAATGAATTAAAGCTCAGCCAACCTCATTTCTCCTTTGTCCCTAGTCGTACATTGAAACGGCGTTTCGTATAGGGAGATAAATTCTGTGGCGTGGATGGAATTTCGCCCTGGCCCAAGTCCAGCTGGGGACAGGACGTGAATCAAAGTCTCCTCGATCATGGCCGGGCCTGAACCGTTTTGATCTGGAAAGTTGCTCCTGGAAGATCCGAGGTCTCCGCTTGAACTGTGGTATTGATACCCAGGTTTGCCAACGCACCGCGAATGATCCCACAGGGGAACCATAGGTACTAGAATTAAGTCAAGTCAGCCACGGGCCCCTATTCACTTGACCTGGGGGAATGATGCTCTTCATACCGCCTGCGCCATCGATATAGCCTCGCCTCGCACATTCAGGCTCATTCGGGCAAAAGGCCGAAATGCACTATCAGTCAGGACGTAGACACCCTGTTCAACTTCACATTAGCTAGCGGTCCTGCGCAAGCCACAACGATGCTGTCGTATTGGGTCGGACGTACTCGATGATTGGTTTTTAGATTATCCACCTGCTTTCTGAATAGCACCGTCCATAAGTCCTTGCAAAGAAACTTGATCACATCGAGATTATCAGTGAAGCGCGGGCGATCGCGGGAAAACCTGTCACAAAGATTAGTGAGCCGCCCCCGATGCGTCTTCAGCCTTGAGATTGCGAGCGCAAATGCAGCATTAAAGACAAAGGGTATTGATTTATTGACCTTTCTGCGAGACCTTGTCCAACCCGATAACCTAAAGATTCCAGGCGAAAATATGTAGTTTCACGAACCTCCTCATCTTCCGGTTCGTTCTCCTTAGTTGAAAGCTCCTTGGCTAGACGTTCAGCCATTGGGACCAGCTCAATAAGAAGAAAGTCGAAGCAAGAGGAACTCAGGGCATTGACATTTGGATCGGAGATACTCAGCGAAGCTGTTGCATCAAATGACATATTGACGGTGAGGGCTGGGGATAAATTTGAAATTGGGGAAAGTTGGTGAGGGGTAGATTTTGCCTTTGGGCTAATAATGGGGAAGGCGGAGTGTTTGGTTTGACTTGAGTGTTTTCGGCTTTTATGTCCATCTTTTGTTTCTCACCTGAAATCTACATGTTTTGACGGGAGACTATTGGCAGATATATACACAAAGAGAAGGAGAGAGAGAGAGAGAGAGAGGAAAACTAAAAATATATGTACTATATATGTAGACATAAGTCAATACAAAGCACTTATGGCAATAATACTAATGGGTTTTGTAAAATCCCTAAGAACGATTTGGAAAATAAGATAACCTCAAGACCCCACCAAAACACCATGGCATGCATGCAAGAACATTCAGCATAAATAGAGAGAGAGAGAGAGAGAGAGAGAGAGAGAGCCGGGGGGGGGGGGTGCGGGAGAAAGCAAAAAAAGTAAGACAAGGCGAGCATATGGTCTATGCTAACTTGAATGCACCTAGTGCGATGGAGGGTATGACCGGCCACTAAGAGGACTGCTGGCAACGGGTTGGTGAGGATCTTGCGATGGAATTCCTCGAACCGCGAAACTCAACGCCGGTCGTTTCAACGGTGGGCCAGGAGATTCGTCATCGTCATCACTGCCGGTCAGATCAATGACCTGTCGTTTCTTGCTGGATACGCGAGCCATTGAAGATGGGGTTGATGTTTCTCGAGACTGAGCGGGTGTCCGCTCCAGAAGGATACTGGAGGGCATAGGTTCCTGCTTTACTGTACTCAAGCTGTTCCGGGACTCACTGATCTCAATCAGATCATCATCGTTGTCATCATCGTCTGTTCCTGGGGTCACTCCACCAAGCTTGACGGCATCCGAATTATCTAGCTTGGACCATGCACCGCTTGGCTCCACGATTACTTGGTCCACGTCCGAGTCGGTAGAGTGAAGGATCTCGTCCACGTATCTATCCAAATTAGTCAATCAATATTAATCATCACCCGCACGGGTATTTGGGCTGTATCTTACTGGTCCACCTGTAGAGACTCAAAGCTGGTTGACTTGGCACACACAGGACAAGTCCAAGTAGGTGCCTGTTTCTGTAATTGAAGGAAAGATGATGCATCGAAGCATTGATTGTGAGTGCATACCACGGACCGACAAGGAACCTGTATGCGTAGGGTTGATAGAGGACATTTTAAAGACATGATGCTTGACGTGGCAACAATATCAGAATCATCCGCACGGTTTTTCACTGCAGTATCAATCAGCACCCCAAGGCCCCCTCATGAAAAAAAAGCACATCGAGATCACCACTCACTCTCTCGTAGCACCTGCTCTTTGGATATAAGCTTGCGTGATTCTAACTTGGCGACAAGTTCCTCTACAGGGTGCTGTCTAACCATGTTTGCAAGCACAAAGAATTTCTGATCAGATAGTTAGCCATCGGAATAAAAGCCCCATTCCTCAATCGGCAATCAGCTGTCACCTTCCTCTGCAGACCCAAGCATGCTTACCTTTTGGGTTAAGGCATAAGTCATCACAATATTATTAGGGTAATTAGCCTTCTTGCGTAAGTAGCTCGTGACGTCTGCAGGTTGGGTGGTCCCGGGTTTATTCTTTAAACCCCGAAGATTGGCTTTAACTTCGTCGAGGTTGGCTTTCAGCTCCACCTGGTGGGGGAAGGTGATATCAGACTTGGTATACTGCTTGAGGCCAGAGTCGGCTGTGCAGTAAATCATCACCCGAAGGTTGGGATCCTTCTCCAAGTCGCCGATATGCGCCTGTGAAAGAAAAACCTTGAGTTCTACACTATCCCTGGTTTGTTCGCGAACTGGTCGATGTGAGAAGCCGAATATGATCCAAGGGAGACCTGGGGGAGCTTACCCTTACATTCCACAACCGGTGTTAATGATTTGACGACTGTGAAAAAGGGACTCTCTTTGAAGCCAATAGGACCTAAGGCAATAATCAGTGGCTGGGCAAATCACAACAGGCGCATTATAACCGAACCGGAAGGATGGGGGTGGGGTGACATGGAGCCGCCCAAAAGAGATCTAGGCTGAGATGCCGATGGCTGCGAGATAGGCGATTGTTGAAACTGTGGGCTTGGGTTGGCTTGGAAGACCGTGGACCCAGGCAGGGCAGTTTGAAGAATGCGACGTCTTAGGGTATCATATCGGATGCTGTTCCCTTCTGAATGACAAACACGCTCCAGGTCTGAATTTTGAATGGCAATGGTCAGCAATGCAATGGTCTTTTTTGAAGGGATTTTTGATGGAGATGATTCGATCTGGGAAAGCGAATAATGTGCAGGCATCAAACGGAGCCAAACAGACAGAAAGGTTGTTGAGAGGAAGATGAAAGAGAGGTAGAGGTACAGGGGAAGAGACTAACAATCGATGATACGCATTTGCACTGCAGCCTTCAGCCCAGATACTGGAAGACCCTCATTTCGCAGCAAATCTTTCAATTGGGGTAGTGTCAGGGTCTTAATGAGATTCACCAGGTTGGGAAGCTCGGAGGACTGGCCGGACGCCATCGCGTCCTAACAGAGAGAAAGGCCTCAGGTAAAATGTACCAAGCCAGGTATAAGGAATCTACAAAGATGCATATCAATCGACTTAGGCTGCAGACCTGCAACTGGTCATAGAGAATCGAGTCCGGAGCCTTTGTCGTCGCAACTGGGAGGTTTGGTGCGGAGATGACATAAGACAGGAAAACGTATCGGCGATAAGGAAAATGGAAAAAAAAAAAAATTAAATTACAACAACGACTTCACCTTTGGACTCTGATATACCTCTTCTTCTCTTCACTGTCCCTTCTCTCTCTCTTTTTTTTTTTGTTTATCTTCTACTGCAACTACTTCGTCAACATGGCTAAGAGTATCCGCGCCAGTGTCGGCAAGCGCAATCGTGCTACTTTGCGCAAGAAGGTGTTCGGTCCCGTCGTTGACGCCCGCACTGAACGACTTGCCGCCAAACTCCAAGAACTTGCGTCCCAACCTCGTCCTAAGAACCCGGAAAAGACAAAGACAGAGTCAGAGATGGAAGTAGAGTCAGACGAAGCTGGTATGTTCTGAGAGTTTCAGCTGGAGTTTGGAAGAAAACATGTTCCTAATCTTTGTTCTCACAGCCGATCAAAGCTCCAGCGCTAAAGCAGCCCCAACTGATGAAGGTAATATGGATCCCAAGGCTTTTCACATATGATATTTGTCAATTAGGAGTCACTAACGGTCAATCTTATATTTAGCCATGGATATTGATATCAAGTCCTCCAAGAAACGATCAAAGTTCGGTCGGGTGCAGAAAACCAAGAAGCCCCGCAACAACATCGTGTTTAAAGCTCACCCTTCCAAGGCAAAGAATGGTTCTAAGAGGAAGTGAGAAAAGCAGGGGAAGGGGTGTTTCCAAACAAACCAGAACGAAAGAAAGAAAAATTACAATGATAAGGAGATCTAGTTGAAGACCCGAGGCATAGAGCCATCAAGGAACAGAATCGGGGTGAAAATCGGAGTTCAGGGAGTCTTGGATATTTGACCGTTGTCTTTTTTTTTTGTCATGTATGTCATAACATTATACATATCTTTCATCTTTTGTTTTCTTCAAGTTTATTCCAAGCTTCCTCTTGTATGCCATTCTTACCCTTGTCTGTAATTCTACACCAGTATAGCCTGATTCTTCTTGATACATGAATTCAAGCTCTTTGAATCTAGTATGTTTCAAGATTTCTGATAAGATATAGTAGAATCTCAAGATCACAGCTGTACTGCTCTTAGTATATGTCGTTAGCGCATGAAATCTATCATACTACTATTAATTAGCAAGTGAAACTCTTGGTCCGTTGGTCAACCGTAGGCGGTGTGGTCGCCTATCATCAGTGTAAACAACGGCCACCGCGTTCTCCTTTCCTTAGATGTGTCTACGAAATTTCCTCGAGCGTATGCAATGGCAGTCTTTTCAGGTTGGTGGGTAACTCTACTCGCCAATCTCCTGGTGCCAGTGGGAATTCTCATCTTCTCCACCGGGTTTTTCCCCTATAAACCACTCCTTCCCGGTCTAGCTATCTTCGATGAGGCTGATTCGGGTGTCTCGCCGATCTTTGACAAGGTGATCTTTATGGTCGTGGACGCGCTGCGGAGGTGTGGACTGCAATTCATCATTGTATCAGAACTGCTTGCTGACAAAGGGCACTTAGTGATTTTGTCTACTCGAATGATTCCGAGTTCTTGTTCACTCAAAGGTTAGGCATGTGATTACTCCAAAGAAGTTGAAAGTTGACTTTGGAGCAGCCTGATTCGAGCGGGCGCTGTACTACCTTTTACTGCCCATGCTAGTTCACCGACAGTGACAATGCCCCGGTTAAAAGCAATGACCACGGGGTCGGTCCCTTCGTTCCTGGATGTGATCCTGAACATCGCGGAGTCAGATACCACGTCGACACTCTTATACCAAGACACTTGGCTTGCCCAATTGAGGGCTCGGGGGGATCAGCTTGTCATGTATGGAGATGATACGTGGCTTAAACTGTTTCCTGGGATGTTTGAGCGAGCCGATGGAACTACAAGCTTCTTTGTATCTGTCAGCAATAACCCCCCCCCCGGGTGACATCCTGCCAAAGGTCTTTTGAACTGACATTTGCTCTCACAGGATTTTGTGGAAGTAGATCAGAATGTGACCCGCCATGTTCCCACAGAGTTGGCTGAAAGTGACTGGTCTGCTCTAATTATGCATTACTTGGGCCTTGATCATATTGGTCATAAGGCGGGCCCTAGAAGGTAATCTCATTTTCTCTCCTCCCCTCATGCTCGTCAAATTGATCTCCAAAACCGGGCACCTGACACTCAACTAGCCCATTCATGGCATCCAAGCAACAGGAAATGGATAGCGTAGTGAAAGACATCTATACAGCCATGCAGCAAGAACCACATCTCCAGTCCACACTTTTCGTCCTGTGTGGCGATCATGGCATGAATGATGCCGGGAATCATGGAGGTTCATCTGCCGGCGAGACCTCCCCAGCGTTATTGTTCGTCTCGCCAAAATTTGAAGCCTTGGGCCATAGACTGAAAAGTCCCGTGGACGCTTCTGAGGATTTCCAGTACTACCGGTCGGTTGAACAAGCAGACATTACCCCAACACTGGCTGGACTGCTCGGTCTACCTATTCCCTTAAACAGCTTGGGGGTTTTTATTCCCGAGTTTCTTAACATGTGGGATTCTGGTAAGCATATGTTCAGTCCTTGGGAGATAGGATCAAATGCGCTAAACAGCTTTCTCAACAGGGTCGCAAAAATTGAATATTCTACAACGTAATGCTCGGCAATTACTAAACACGGTCAAGGCTGCATTCCCGGGGGTCTCGTTTGACCACCATGACATTGGTTCCAGTTGTTCATCCGGGGCAACCTCTGGCATAGAAGGCGCCCAATGTGCGTGGTCCCAAATTCAGCAGCTTTCTCGTGAGACACCGGCCGAGGATGAATTTGCCATTGTAGGTCCCGCTTTACAACGGTTCTCGCTCAATGCACAAGATGTGATGAGTAGTGCCGCGAGTGACTACAATGTCTTCCGACTTGCTTTCGGCCTGTTGATCACAGGCTTTGCGGCGATGATGGTTTTCCCAGCTGTGTACCAAGACTGCGCACGATCTGCTTACACGGGCGGGTTTCTGGCGTTCCTGATTGTGGGTTATGGAGTCATGATGTTCGCAAGTAGTTATGTGGAGGAGGAGCAGCAATTCTGGTATTGGATTTGCTCGGGGTGGATTTTGTATCTCCACGTCAAATCGACACGCTCCCGACACTCTCAGCACAAGAGTCCATTCAACTGGACCAGCATGGCCACCATCGGACTTATCCTATCCCAACGGATCCTGCGCCGGTGGAACCAAACCGGCCAAAAATTCACGGCCGAACCAGATATCGCTCGCAACTTCTTACCCAATCACCCCCTGTGTCTGTGGGTATTGATAACCCTCACATACGTCGATGCTGGCCGCGGGCTGTTTTTGAGCTTGCCGACTGGATTGCCGCGGCTAGTTGGACTGGTTCTGCCAAGCCTGGCTTTCTTGTTCAAGTTGAGTTTTGTAGCAAATGACTCGCCCGAGCTGCTGGTCGAGTCCCTTCTATCACGAATGGAGAAGTTCTTGGAGACTGTACCATTGGTTTTGCAGGCGAGGCTCGTTTTCGGCGGAATTGCGTGTTGTATTCTTTTGGCAGTTGCAACAACGGGTCGGTGGAGAGGAGCAGCTGGTAAGATTTGAACTTCTTTCCCTCTTTATATTCGCGCGTTTGAGAGGACAGCGGCTAACCCAGAACCCCTTCAGCTTCAAACCACCTTGCCCACGAGGCGCTCAATCTGTTCCTAATGACGCAGTCCAGAGTCACCAACATTCCAGTGTTCCTTGTGTTTCGTATTCAGGCCCTCATTTTGACCCCAATGAATTTGAATGGAATTGAGGTGACTGTCGTGACATTAATAATGCAGTACATGACTTTCTTTGCGCTTGGGGGTTCTAACGCGATTTCTTCCGTGGACTTGTCGAGTGCATACAACGGCGTGGGCAGTTATAGCGTGGTCATGGTGGGAATCCTGACATTTGCGAGCAATTGGGCAGGTCCCATTTGGTGGGTTTCGATGAGCCATCAGCTCCGATCGCATCCTGATATGGGATATCACAGCCCTGTCGCATTGCTCACATTCCACATTGCCACGTCCCTGGTGTCAGTGATGGCGGCTTGTACGGCCTTGAGAACCCATCTGTTTATCTGGACCGTGTTCTCGCCCAAATATCTGTATTCGATAGCTTGGGCGACGGCTAACCACGTTCTTGTAAATCTGCTCGGTGGTGTCTGCCTTGCTGCTCCTCAGAAGCAATAGTCGAATTTCTTCTTCTTCTTCTTCCCCTCCTCTTGCCTCTTCAAGGTCTATACGAGTCAATAGAGAAATCAATAGAAATAGATCTATCATCACTAGACCCCCATTGAAAATGACAAGCTAGATTTAGAATAGACCACTGAAAAGGTCGTCGATTGCATTTTTCTTGCGTTTGGTGGACTTGGACTTGGTGGACTTTTTCTTTTCCTTCACAGGCCGTTCCCGCTCTGTCTTGGAGGATTGACTTGGTGCTTCTACCCGCACCTGGTCGTCGCGACAGATACGCTCTCCTCGGTCCTCAATAGGGTCCCGAATAAGCACTTTCTGCATTCTCGCGCGACATCGTAGTTTGATTTTACGGTCGGCTCCGGTGGCCTTGGCCAGACGTGCTAATGCTGCTAGCAGAGCGATCCCCAATGTCGCGAACTGGTTCTCAGCCACCACGGTCGAAAATGCTCTGTTTCTGATCAGTACTTTGCATCTTTACCTATATAAGAGAAAGTGTAGGGAAAAAGAGAAGAAAACAAGGATTTCACTTACAAGTAACATCGGGGAAGCAGATGCTGGGCCAGATGTTGCTGATAGCGCTCGACAGCGGCCGAGTCCAACGATTTCAGATCCAACGTGGTACGTTTCAAAGTTGCTAACCATTTCCACCATTTAGCTCTCTGGTGTTGATTCTTGTTACGATGGAAAATCAGGTGCAGTAAAGTATGAACTGCTGATATCTCCTGGTAGTCCATGGTGAGGAAGGATATTGGAGAAATGGAGAAAGAGGTTTTCGTTTCTTTTTTTTGGGTGCGGGCGGAGGAATTGTCAAATCCCTCCCTAAAATACATAGAAACATTTCCCCCCATTGATCTTGGCTACAATTATCACATTTTTATTGGTTTATGAAATACATCATTTGCACATTTGCGAAATCATGGAAATTCTTGCATTTGTTACTAAGAAATATAAAAACAAAAAACAAAAAAAGAGCAAGGCCCTTTCCAAGGATGAGAAAATCCGACAATACGGCATTTTTAGATGATAAGGTATATCTCGGAGAACTGGGAAATTCGCCTGAAATTCCCTCTTCATTTGAAAATCCATGGGTATCATGATTGTGAGATAGAAGCCTTACATAGCCAAAGTCCCAAAATACTATGAAGTTGGGATACAATCAGCCGGAACGAGAAACCAGATAAAACGAAATCAAGGAAGACAAAGCAAAAAGACATAGAAAAGTAAAAGATAGTCTTGACATATCAAAACCCAGGGAATTCCCATTTGCTGTTGCCTCGAGTATGGCGTCGGAGGCCTTGGGTGGGTGTCTCGATCACAGTCCCGGGCTGGGAACTGTCAGATTGACGACGTGGAGTGGCGTTTGATCCACGACGTTGATCATCAGATCCGGGACGTGAATCATCAGATCCGTGACGTCGATCGGCATCGTGATGACCATTCCCACTAGTGCGGTTCTCTCGAGGGCCCTTGTACAAACCTATATCAAAATTAGGGGTCAAGTTCAGAACGAACTCTCGGCAAATATCACAAAACCCTACCTGTCAGTTTGCTTCGGTCAACGCCCTTTGCAAGTGTCCAGAAGTTATTCACAGGTGGGAAAGGTGCTTCCTCGCCAGTGCGAGGTCCATGAATGTAGAACAACTTGTTTGGATTAGTATTGGACCATCTCACATCCATCTGAATGAAGACTTACCTTGGGACGATTATCCGGGAAATCCAACATGACCGGGCTGTTCCGAAACTTCTCAACCAGGAAGTTATAACCTTGGGCGGCTGTTCCTACATCAGTACAACATTTCAGAGAATGAAGGTCCCTTGCAGAAGAGCTAGTAACTTACTTGCATACGAGACGTGCGCATATTTCATTCGACCAACAGCACCGAAAGCTGGCCTAGAGGTCATAGGTTAGGGTCACGTTCTCTGTGAAAAAAAGGGGGAAAAAAGGAGGGGAAAAAGACTGCCAAACTCACCATGGTGTTCCATTCCGTTTGCTAAAAAACTAAAGAAAAGTTAGTAACTGTGGTATATATTGATGAATAACATGCCCTACCGGAATTATGTCCTGGGGCTGGAAGGAGAAAAGAAAGAAAAGAGTTAGCGAATGAGAATGATGGCACAATGGGACAGATTCAAGCTACCGAAGCAAAGTTGATAAAGGCATAACCAACACTAGAAAGATGATTGACCTGGTCAGAAATTTCCGATCTGATAAAAAAAAAAAAAGCTTTTGTTTTCACACGAACTTAAGACGCTGCTCAAAGTCTATATCCAAATACAAGTTAGTTGATGGCCATCATGGTGGTGGTGGATCATTCTTACCCATACGCAAGTACAAGAAGTCGAACTTCTTTGCAGATGTGACATCCAAGTATGTCTTGAGCTGATCCTGTAGAATTATTCAGTCTTTGCATACCCCCTAAACAGTTTAGGAAGAGGGTCATTTACCCATGTCTGCGAATTGGGGATATTCTTAAGCATGACCTGTAGAGGGAAATATCAGAGATCATCATCGCTCAAGATAAAACGAAGCTCATAATTCTTACTGTGCATCGATTATCCTTGCCTTGGATAATGGCTTGAAGATCAATAGCCCGCTCGTCATTGATACTGTGTCGGCTGGGGGTCCGAGGAGATTGATCTCGGCTGTCCTCAGGGGACAAGTCGGGATCAATCATTCGACCAGCACCTTGTTCTTGACAATTCCAGTGGCGAATCTTGTGAGTTTCCATATCACGATGGTAGCCGAGAATCTCAAGGATGAAGCCCTGGAATGTATGAAAATTGAGTATCTGCAGATTGAAATAGAAATAGAAATAGAAAGAGAGGGGAGAGGGGGAGAGGGGAAAGGGGAGGGGGCAGTAAAAAGACATACGGGTGTTGAGATGGCATTGATAGCCCGGACGGCGTTTGAAGCATGTGTAGAATCATAATAACGCGCGACAAATCCATGTATGAAAAACCTAGGCGTTTTGTTGACAGTTTCAAATTTCACTGGGCGAATATCGGCGATGGGACCCACTAACTCGAGCACATCCTTTAGGGTCGGCATAAGCTCGTGATGAGGGACTCTTCTTCCAGGTCCACAAAAGGCTATCACCAAAACTTGGTCTTCAAAGACGGGGTGAGAAAATCCGATTCTTGCATAGTTCTTGAAATTCGTTTCACCGACGGGCTCAATGGCCCAGGCTGGGTTCCCGCGGGCAAGATGTTTGATGGCCTGTTGACCCTCGCGCATATCAGAGAAGCCCATCCAAAACTGACCATTGCTGCGTATATCGTGTAGGCTAGGTCCAATGATAGTCCGGAAATTCTTTTTTCCCCCTGTTAGTAAATCATCTTTATTTGTTACATTGACTGAAGTGGCAAGGTTTTATAATCAACTGACCTGATTTCTGAGGTAGTCGAGAATTTGAATGGCTGTGGTATTGGTATCCACATTTTTCACAACAAACCGACGATCGTAGGGTCGTATGTCCTTTTGAGACGACAGGTTTTCAAAAGCAGAAACATGACCGGTAGGCCCAGGATAGGTAGATCTGTTGCCACGAAAGAGAGCTAGCTCTGACGGCTCAGACCATTGCGCAGGCAAATTTTGATCGCCAGGTTTATTCATGCCATTGCCATGTCCCGGATTGGAGTTTGTTGCATTGAAGCTTCGCAAATCACTCTGACCCTGGTGAACAGACGTAAGAGGCTTATTGGAGTGGACAGAATAATCAGTACTCCGATTTGGCTGCAAACCCAAATCCGAGTATCGGGACCGAGTGGGCAAAGCAGAATCCGCGGAGCTATGGCGTTGCAAAGGATTCAGCCGATGAGATAAGCCGTAATTGGCTTTCGGGAGATCCGTGAAGACGGAACCAATAGCACGACCACTCATAAAATTCTCATAATCCTTGTGCTGGAGCTTTCGGTACGGACCTAATCCGTAGCCAGTTGATGTGGATGCGTTATCCGAGTATGGACCACTGCTTATGTTAGTTGAGCTCTTTTCCGAGAAAAGCCAGTAGGCTATTGACTTACGGACTGTCATGGTCCATACGTTTCATACGCGAAACCAAATCACTGGTCCCCGAATTTTCAAAGCTCGGGCCAAACACGGCCAGCTGAGTAGCAGGGGATTTGATCGAGGCGGATGAGGGGCTCTCACCAGGGAAGGCAGGTGGATCGGCACCCATGTTTGAAGCAACAGAGTGAAACACGGTAAAAGGTCAAAAAGATTCGTGAAGTTGGCGTGAAGTTGGCGGTTTTCGGGTAATTGAACGTTGAAGAAATTGAATACTGATGCGAAAGAGTAAAAGGTTAGGAGGACAAGAGGTTGGGAAGAGAAGAACTTTGAAGGAGAAGAAGTAAGCTGAAAGGAGGGAACACGTTTCTGAAGAAGACATTTCTGAAACGTGATGATAGACCAATCCGTCGAATTCAAGGTGGTGTAAGTAGTGGTAGCGGTGCATCATGATACTGACTAAAAGAGGTCCCAAGGAATCAATCATTGTAACTACCCACATATCTAATGATTGAAGGCTGCCAGACCTGAATGCATAGAGCATGCATAGCGATGACGAGTAGAGTCTGTAATTCATATGACTGGAAATATTTGAACTTGGCGTGTGGGCACTTGCAATAAATGCTTGGGACCTCTGTAGGTACCTGAAGTCTAAGTTTTATAACCATCAAGGATATGTAAATCCGTAGCATTCTGCTAATATGTACACATTTGGTTGGTTCTACGGAGAATATGTTAGTTAAAAGGTTCACATAGGCCAAAGAAGCTATAGGTGTTGAATCATACTAACAAAGATTTGGTTGGATGGATGAGGTGAGTATGCCTGGAACTTGGAAGATATAGAAATATGGAACAAATTATCTTCTGAATCTCTGATTAAACCTGGCCCGTGCCCAGGAGTCCAGGAGTCCAGGAGTCCAGCACGCTAACTTACTAACTGTCTAGCTCGAGTGCTTAATTGGACCTCTAGGGCGGTGAGACTTGGGCGGTCACACATGCCCCGGCTTTATCCATGCCTTAACTAACAGCACAGGCTCACAGCTCTAGACAACAAAATGCCCTCCATGGCGCCCGCCCTGCCAGAACCACATGTGCTGAACCAGGTCAGTGTCCCGAAAAAACAAAAGCCTTTTTGTTGACATTCTGATTAAGACAAGATCGACATAGATTATCATCTCACCCTCCGACACCGATTACCTGGATCAGTTGATACCTTCAATCCGCGAGTACAGTGTGGGGAATCGAACCCCGCAGTTACTCCAATCCCTATCCAAATTTGCAAGTGATAAAGAAGCAGAGATTGAGAGGATCTGCAACACAAATCATCAGGAGTTTGTCTCATCGGTCAACTCGTTACTTCGAATTCGGGAAGGCACGGTCTCCTTAACAGCAGAGATCCTTGACCTTAATCAATCAATCCAGACAAGCACGGAGCGACTGGCCGAACAGAAAAAAGCTTTGGTAGAATCACGGGGTCATCGTCAGAATATCGATGAAACTTCGAGGGCGATTCAAGATTGCCTGGAGGTGCTTCGACTTGCGAACCAAGTCCATGACCTATTGGCAAAGAAGAACCATTATGCAGCCTTGCGCGCCCTGGAAGAGCTTCAGAATGTTCATCTCAAAGGTGTGACTCAATACAAGATTGCTGTCATGATTCAACGCTCGGTGCCGGCCACCCAGCGTGCGATCGCCGAGGCGGTCATGTCGGATTTGAACACCTGGCTGTATCGTATCCGCGAGATGTCACAATACCTGGGAGAGATCGCGCTCTTTCACACCGATCAGCGTAAATCAAGACTCAAACAGAGAGCGGAGAAGGTTCCGTACCTTGAGCACTTCAATTTGAACTCTGCCATCGAACTGGTAGCCGACGAGGACGAGGAATATGACCTACTTGAGAATGAAGATTTGCAGGTGGAGTTCACTCCATTATTTGAGTGTTTGCATATCCACCAATCCTTGGGCCAAATAGACAAGTTTCGAATCGAATATGCCAACACTCGTCGCCGCCAAAAGGATCTTTTAACGCCACCTTCCATCACTCTCATAGACGAGGATGGGGCTAGTCTTCACAATCTTCTTGAAGAAATGGCCGGCTTTGCAATTGTTGAACGAGCCACGATAAAAAGAGTGCCTGATTTGAGATCGTCTGTTGATGTATGCTCCGTTGCCCTTATCTTGATTTAATTCGTGTGACATGAATCAACTAACCTATATTGGGAGATAGATCGATGAGCTCTGGGACTCAATGTGCCAGGCGGCTGTAGGCGTGATATCCAAGGCCCTTCCTGAAGTGGACAACGCCGAAAACATTCTCAAAATCAAGAACTTGATTGCTTTGTTCATGCAGACCATGAATGTTGGTCCCTCTTTTCTACTGCCAAATGATTGTTATATGAATTTCAATGCTGATTTTCTACGTAGACTTGGAATTTTCCTGTCCGCGTCTTTGATGACTTCCTCTTGAAGCTTTTCGAGAAATATGCGGAGCTCTTGAAGAGGAGATTTAGCGATGATTTCCAAGAAGTATGGCTACCCTCGATTCTTCCCCTGGGCCTATTGCTACAGCACAGGGGCCACATGTTAACATGTATAGATTGTATCAACGGATGACTACATGCCGATGCCTATCCAAACTCTAGAAGAATACGACAAGGTGCTCAATGTGAGCTGGTATAGTCCAGAAAAGCCTCGTGAGGAGCAGGTGTATGTGCATTACTTCTACTCTCTGCTCGATCCCTCTCGACTGATGATATGTGCAGATTTCCCTGTATTCTCCCATTCTCGAGGATGTATCCACTGTGCTGCATCGACATACGAAACTTCTTGAACCAATTTTACTTCTTCGCAAATGATGATTTTTCACACCCGAATGTCATTGATGAGACGTTAAAGGATGTGAGTGAACTCCGTCAGCAATTTGGTCTTGGTCACAGTCAAAGCTAAATTGAGAACAGGCGCTGGACGACCTCCTTTCGCGCAAGGTGTGCGATACCCTAGTTGAACGTCTTTCCTCACAGTACCTAGGACAGATTGTTCAAATTCTTATCAACTTGGAGCACTTCGAGTCAGCCTGTCATGAGCTCGAGTTGCTTCTCGCAGCCGCAAGATCTCAGAACTCGACGGGTACATCCATTACTCTACGAGCAACGGAAAAGTTCCGGAGTAATAAAAAATCAGCGGAGAAGCGCATTTTTGAAGTTGTCAACTCCAAAATTGACGATCTTATCGAAACAGCAGAATATGAATGGATGTCTCCGACTGCCCCAAGTGAACCTAGTAACTACATGCAGACACTGACTCGGTTCCTCTCTAACATCATGAATTCCACCCTACTTGGGCTCCCAACCGAGATTAAAGAACTCATTTACTTTGACGCTCTCAGTCATGCAGCAAACATGATTCTGGTATGTGTCTTAGGGCGTTTCCTCCCTCCAATCCGTTCCATCGATCGAGCTGACGAGTTACAAAAGGCGCAACCGCTGGCACCGGAGGTCAGGACCATCAACCCCAATGGTGTAATGGCGCTGGCAAAGGATGTAGAGTACTTGGCTCAGTTTGTGGACAGTCTCAATGTTCCCATTCTGCGTGAGAACCTCGACGAACTCCAGCAGACCGTGCAGTTGATGCAAGCAGATAATGCGGATGAATTTTATGATATCTCAACCCGAAATAAGAAGTATGGACGAGTCGATGCTATGCAGGGGCCTGTTTTGCTAGAGAAGTATGTTCCCTACAAGAGTTGACTGTGATGGCGCATCTGCTAACACCATTTAGGCTCACGAGGACGGTCCAGGCCCCTAGCAAGGTGGACAAATTCGCGACGCTTTCTTCTCGTTTCAAAAAGAATTAGGACTCATTTACTATGATTTCATCTGTTTCATTGTGAGCCGACTTCGGTTTTTTTTTTTTTTTTTTTTTTTTTCTCTAATCCAGGGCAAGGTAGGGAGCCCTTTCGACCGACCGGCCTTGACAATGGTCAGATATTCGGAATAATAATTGAAGATTACATTGCGTAGCGTCCTTGTGTCACAGTCGCATCATTACAACAAAGATATTATTCAAGGTGACCCTAGTGACTACTAGTATCAGGTTTGAACGTTCTGTGGAAATCAACATCGAATTACCCCAAACAAAAACAGTATAAATATTGTAACTGTATACCAATATGAAGCTACATGTAGTCAACAGGTAATTATTGGTTGTACAATGCTAAAATATTACCTAGGTAAACATTTGAAGGCACTATATCAGGATTTTTCTCTCCTTGCTTTTTTCTTCTTCTTTTCCTTGTCTGTTTACCAGTGTTGACTTCATTCCCTTCTAGTATCGACGCGGCTCTAGTTTTGCATATAAAATAGATTGAATTGAGGTTGTAACGAAAATTCAGACAGAGACAAGCCTTAGGCCCCAAGATTCGCCAGGAAACACGCGCAGACCCTTGATAAAAACATATAAAGAAATAAAATAAAGTGTGGTTTTCCTCGCGAAAGTTCAACTCACTATGCTGGTTAGTTCCGAGGGAAACATGAGATGGGGCTAATGACACATACCTGCTGAGGGGGAAGATGGGGGTATGGGGCATACATTCCCTCGAACATTTGGGGTTGAGGCTGGCCATATGCTGCAGTGGGGTCTGATTGAACTGGTCCTGGGTACATGGCGGGTTGCGGGCGGTATTCCTGCTCTTGAGGCATGCCGTGTTGCAGGGAGCCATAGTCTGCGGGGCCCATGTGTGTCGGAACACCATGCTGGGATGGTGGCAGCTGACCCGGAGCAACAGAGGGCCCTGGAGCACCTGCCTGGCTTGATCGCTTGGCATGTGAGGCTGCTTCTTCCCGAGGAACAATGTCAATCAGAAAATCAAACATATCAGACTTGGAAAGAGCGGCGGCAATATCCGAGCGCTGTAAAGTACGGCGCTTGTTGTCTTCGGCATGGATCCATGCACGCATGGTCAGCTCCGTGATGAAGATATCACACCCCTTGGCAAATAAGATTGGAGCCTCGGCGGAGATCATCTTGACTTCCGGATCGGCTTTCATCACCTTCTTGATGCGAGCAAGCGGCAACTGATGAATTTTGTAATCGTGGTTTTCGCCCTCCAAATGGTTGATAACATGCTGCCAGTAGGTCGTCAGGATATCCCGGGCGGTCCCTTGCAGGCCTTGGTTCACCTACTTGGGTGTAAGCTGGGGAAACATCGTTCACTGCAGGGAGCTTACATTGGCCCAAGTTCCTGTGTACAGCTCGGCAAGCGGTGCATAGCCTTGCGCAGATAGCTGATCGAATTCGGGATTAATTAGCGGCCACTCCGAAACATCTCACATGGTCATTCAAGGTTCGGTTTAGACTGTGAAGCATACCTGTGCGCTGGCACCTGTGGGAGAGAAAGAAAGAAAGAAAGTTAGCTTATATTCACGCGACAGCTTATATTCACGCGACAAGTTGCAAGAGCGACGTCTCAATTTGCGCGCCTGCCAGAGACAAAGCGCGATCGTCTAAGCGTGCTAGAAAACCATAACCCAAATCAACTAGGAATACCAAGACAGGATTTATTTACCATAGTGACCACCATTTCTGGTATCATAAACGGGTGTTTGCTGTTGTCCCTGCTGCTGCTGTCTGCCCTGCTGCTGGCTGGTGCCCTGGGGAGCTGGATCCATGGTGAGTCGCGTTTCGCGCCCGACGAAGTTGCGATGAAATAGGAGATGGATCCAAGAATATGGAGACTGTCGCAGAGCACGACAAAAAGTGTGGAAGAAGCAACAGAAGTAGCACGTTTGATTGGACGAGAAAAGTAAGGCGCTGAGAAATCTTGGGATGGGGGAAGGAAGCGCGTGTGCCAAGTCAAGTGGTGTGCTCTTAGCTGTCTGACGTTTCCGGGTATCCCAACCCCCGCTCCTGAATACTTGGATCGTACTACTAAGTGTCTGATATTATGATTTATATAGAGAGAGCCAGGGCTTATTTTACATTTATCTCGAATAGTATGTTCAACGGAATTCTCTACATAATTTTTTTTTACACATTTTATTAGAAATAAATATATCTCGTATATAACATGGCCCGCATTTACGGTGGCATCAACATTGAAAGTATCGCTACTTATTTTTACTGGTCAATTACTTGCAATTTTAGGTACCCAGTACTTTATTATCTGGTCTATGATATATCACGTGAGTGCTACCCGGAGCTTGCTGGGAATACTTTGTTCCGTTCCGAGAAAAGCAGCAACAGGAAAAAAAAAACTTATAAAATCCACTTTTCCCTCAGCTCCTCTACAATCTTCAATACCTCCCACCACCTTTACTCATACTGGTAGGGATGACTTCTACCCATGTGGAGGTCAATGTTCAACCTCAAGAAGAGGTAGACTTGACCGATGATCAAGTTCAACAGCTACTGCTTGAAGCAGAAAGCCGCCTCCGTGGCTCTGACCTTCAACTCGTTCAAGACTCTGACATTGCGTCTATAAGGTATGTTGTCTCTCTATTCCTTCCCACCAAACTATGCAGAGTGACCCGAACTCATGGGACTGACTCTGTTTACGATAGTATCCCTAAACTGACACCAGGCACCACGTTGGAGCCTTATGTTCGTCAGAGTCATGACTTTGCAACTGCCGATACGGCTCAGCTGGTTGATCAGAAACAAAAAAAGTTGTCTAATTCTCTACACTTGATTCAGCAAGCCAAGAAGTCTACTAAAGTGAGTATCTCTTCTCTTCTCCCGTTCTTCCCCGTCGACCCCACGACCTTTTCTTTCTGCTATGAGGAAAATTATCCCAACGCATCAGCGCTTGATGTAGCGTAACCAGCCCGTCTTGGGCTGTGCTGCACCAGTGAGAGCTTCATTTTCATAGTTACTCTGAGCAACCACCGCAAATCATCTGTGATTCCAAAAACATATAGTTAAGGACTTGAGCTAATGGTTCACCTTTCTAGGACAAGGCCACTGCTGGACCCCAGTGGTTCGACCTCCCCAAGACGGAATTGACCACTGAACTCAAAAGAGATCTGCAGTTGCTACGAATGCGCTCTGTACTGGATTCCAAGAGGCACTACAAGAAGGAGAATGGCAAGGCAAAGCTTCCTGAATTTTCCCAGGTCGGAACCATCATCGAAGGTCCTACCGAATTCTTCAGCGGCCGCATCGCCAAGAAAGACCGCAAGAAGACTTTTGTTGCAGAGGCCATGGCCCTGGAGCGTCAAACAAGACGCTTTGAGTCCAAGTATCGTGACATTCAAAGCACCAAGCAAAGTGGGAAAAAGGCTTTCTACAACAACCTGAAAGCAAAACGAAACCGGAACAACAAGTGATTATGATGCATTGGCCCAAAGGACAGTGAAATGTCCAACAATCATCAGACCACTAAACTTGCCAGTCATCACCTGGCTTGTAGGCCCCTTGGCGCAGATTTACATTGAAATCTATCTGTATATCTGCTGCTATCTTCTACGGCTGGCCAAACACTCGCACGAGAGTTCGCGTCACCAGTTGCTGTCACCCATTTAGCTGCTGGTCTCCAGAGTGGGGTATACAAGATGACTTCTTACCTGCATATCCAAAGCCGCTTGGCGGCCAGCCTCCAGGACCTCCTCATGGGTTGCCTTGCCCTTCTCCAGAATGGCATTGAGCTCGCTGGTATCTTTGCCTTCCAACAATTCTTCGTCTCCCCGGGGAACAGGAGCCAATACCGCATTGTTTGTAACTAGCGTGAATGCGAGCACACGGAGGCCGCAATGCCTTGCCACCACGATTTCTGGCACGGTAGACATGCCCACCACGTCGGCACCCAGCATTCGAAGCATGCGGCTCTCGGCCCTTGTTTCGTAACTACAGAAAGTTAGAAATCGTGGGGCGAGAAGGAGATTCTTTTCATACTCACGTTGGCCCCCCCACAAAAGCGTACACTCCCTCGTGTAATCTCCTGACGTTTGACGAAGGAATAATTTCTTTCCACACTTGATGGACATGGCGACGCAGGTCCAGGTCATATGCATCCGACAACGGTGGAAAGCGAACACCGAATTCCTCAATGTTGGCGCCTCTGAGAGGATGCAATCCAGCGAGGCCTGCTAGGAAGATATGCTGCACAGAATGTTAATAAGAACTTGTCCCTTATGTGGGCAAAGATGGACTTGCATCATTTAGTAGCATAACATCTCCCACGCTGTAATCTTGATTGAGGCCTCCGGCCGCATTGGTCACTTTTCCCTTCAACATTAGTATCTTACAGAGACAGTGTTAATTGTTGATTCATTCGCGCGACTCACGCACAACCGTGTTCACTCCTAAGAGCTTGAACACTCGGATCGGAAACGTCACTTGATCCATCGAATTCCCTTCGTAATAACTGATGTGATACATATGCCCATGAGCCATCGACCGTCGAAAATTGCGGGGAGAAGAGGTTTCACATTCAATCTGAGGGTGAACTCACTGGGCACGGCCAACCATGAATACTGCGGGAATCTTCTGATCCAAGAGCCCGAAAACCAGCTTGCCCGCATGTCCCGCAACTTCAAGTGCTGTCAGCCCCTGGTCATTCATTCGTTTTCAATGTCTCATGGGATTTTACCAGTTGGACGGGGGAAATGAGGAATCGAGGCGTAGTCGTATTCCACGCGAGGTTCTGCTTGGATGGTGTCCGCCAGACCACTCAACCCGGAGCCACAAACGACTGCAACCTTTGGTCTTTGCAGGCCCTCGGGCAGTCGTCTATTCAGGAATTCCACCGTCTCATGGACCTGTTCAAGGATGGATAGGTTGGATTCAGTCATGATTGGGAGTCTGAATGATTATTACTCTAGTATGTACTAGATATAAAATAGAGAGGGGGGAAGATAAGCGAAGAAAAAGTCCAAGCGGAAGGGTGGATCTCCGTTCTGGGTTTGTCTTCTGAGATGTACAGTCATGTACTATGTACTATATGGCATAGTACAAGCATTGGGCACCGTGGATATGCGTAGGATTTGGATAGAAAGAGCTTGAAATTGATACTAAGGACTGGTATATGCTCACATGAGTATTTAGGAGGAGAATACCATAGTCAATACTCAAGAAGAATACTATTCCTTTATTCAGTACCTACTAGTAGGATGGTTGCGTACGTACTGCTAGTACATACTCGGGGGAGATTACAACCCCAGTACCTTGGGAGATTACAAACCCCAATGTCAGTAGTACTTGCGATATGTATTGCACTGAGGCTCTGGAATTAGAATTGTAATTTAGCAATTTAAGAGCGAAAAAATATAAAAAGAAAAATATAAAAAGAACAGTGGATTGTCTGGGGTAAATCCTAGGGAATTGAAACCAAATATTGTAACATTAAAAACAAAGATACCACTCAATATACACAGGTTAATCTCAGATCACCAACCATTCCATATAGATCTATTCCAATAGAAAAAAAAAAAAAAAGCTTCCCCAAGTGAAATCCCTTGGATCAAGTAACTTGCCTCAGCCATGGATGCTGTTGATCTGGTTCACCAAACATTGGAATGGTCTGGGGGAAGCAAAGGCGGTCAAGGCGCGCATCTCCAACCACGAAAAAAATGAAACCCGTTGTCTCTCCATAAAGGAAAACGTCAATTGACACAATGTTTACAAGCACAACACGCTCCCTACTGGGAGCTGGAAAGCATATTCGGGTATGTTATATCAGAATGATCTATATTTTGTCTTTCCCTTGCGCTGACCAAGTCGGTGGGTTCCCAAACCATAGGTACCCGTGCCCGTTCGCTCGCTATCAACCCCGAGTCAACCTGCTACACCCACTACGGCCCCAGCCTTGGAGACGACACCGAAGACAGCACCCCAGCCTGTCGCAACCCCGGCTCTTGAATCAGTGTAAGACTCCAGCAAACCGAACAGAATGACCCCGCGTCACGCAGACGGATTGATTGGTTTTCAAAAATCTAGATCGACACCAACCCCAGAGCAGCCCTCCGAGCCACGTGTGAAAGAATGGTCAGTCCTATCCCGATGCCAACCAGATAACCACACCCGGAGAGATCAAGGGGTTGTATGTTTATTTTGCTACATGCTTACTGGCGATTTAGGTCTGAGCGACTGGGAGCCCTGGGCAAGGGCACCAGGCTGCCACGAAGCGTGCAAGCGATTTATATGCGACCTCTTCGGAGAAAGGCGGAATATGGCCTTCCTGTCTGTGATCTCCAGCTTCGTTCCTACAGCGTTGAGAATGTGGAATTCTTTGCCGACTTTGCAATCCGTGCTGCCTATTACCTCAATCTCCCCGTCTCCGGTCCCGTCCCTCTCCCACGCATCGTCGAACGCTGGACCGTCCCACGAAGCAACTTCGTTCATAAGAAGAGCCAGGAGAACTTTGAGCGCATTACCCTCCGCCGGTTGATTCAGATCAAGGATGGAAACCCAAAGGCAGTGCAAGCTTGGCTTGCTTTCTTGCGGAAACACGCATTCTATGGTGTTGGCATGAAAGCCAACGTTTGGGAGCATGACAGCCTTGGTACGATTGCCCAGTCTCATTTATTGCTAGCTCAAAGCACTAACTTTTTTTTTTTCAGATGTTGGTAAATCGATGGACGAATCTCTTCCGGAGATTGAAAAGACCCTGGGCTCGCACCTCGCCCAATTCGGTCAGCGTAAGGATAATTCCGTGAAAGGCTCCATCTTCGACACTTTGGACAATGACCGATTTGCCGAGCGTAAAAGCCTATAGAGGAAAGGTGGTCCCAGTGTTTGACTAGTACCTGTGCTTTGCATTTTTCTTTTTGGAGACACACCTTGGCGTCCTGTAGTTTTATCATATATTGTTTATCTCTTGGTAGGGACTCTTCAAGCCCCTATCCCCATGTATTGTATACTTTCCTCCACCATATCCAACCTTCCGAAGCCAAGAACTCAAGAACCCAAGAACCCGGGAGATCTATCTCTCATCAATCATGACAAGATTCCGAATCTTAGTATGCTGTACCAAAGATTCCCCGAGAGGGCCCTTCCTTACCGAGTCAAATGAGAAATTGCCCTAAACTTAGCTTCATGGACTAGATGTTGGCCTTAAGAGGACATGATACATCATCGCTTTGGCCATTGAACATCACGTGATATCCTAGGATGTTTTTGCGCCGAGACGCGGAAAAGCAGAGTCTCCTCCCCCGAGATTGGTGACAAACAACCTTGTGGTATACTTGATACAAGATGTCTACCTCATTCTGTCAATATAGGGGTACCGCAGTAAGATCAGTGGGGGGAAAGCTGCCCTACCGGGCCCGTCTGCGGCAAACTTTCCAGTGGCATCGATCAATCAGCTCGACCTCGGCCAATGCGACCACCACTCCGGAGCCCGTTATTTTTTCAGGCATCCAGCCGACAGGAATTCCCCATCTAGGCAACTATTTGGGTGCTCTTCACCAGTGGGTGAAACTACAGAATAATGCGAAACCAGGGGCCAAGCTGTTGTTTTCCATTGTTGATTTGCATGCATTGACCGTGCCGCAAGACGCAGCTCAATTGAGGAAATGGAGGCGCGAGGCATTTGCAACTTTGATTGCGGTGGGGTTGGATCCCAAGCGTTGTACAATCTTCTATCAATCAGCTGTAAGGCACCTAATGAATGAGATCTGAAGGTCAACGAGAGGCTAATCAAACCCTGGGGGGTTACCAGGTGCCGGCTCATGCGGAATTGATGTGGATTCTCAGCACCGTAGCTTCTATGGGATATCTCTCAAGAATGACCCAGTGGAAGGTAAGACTTGACCTGGCTTGTACCCTACTAGTCCTATTGTTTCAACGGCTAATATGCTCCTAGAGCAAGCTTCAATTACCGGAGGATGTTACCCTAGAAGATTCAGAAGCCCGTGCCCAGCTGCGTCTGGGTCTCTTCTCATATCCCGTGCTCCAAGCTGCCGATATCCTTGTCCACAGGTCAACTTTGATTCCCTGCCTTTCTGGTCCCTGGTTGCAAAACTAACAATCCACTAGGGCCACTCATGTACCAGTTGGTGAAGATCAAAGACAGCATCTTGAGTTCTCCCGGTATACAGCTAATAGTTTCAACCATCTCTACCGGCCAATCTTCCCGATCCCAGAAGCTTTGATCTGTAATGTCCACCTTCTCTTCTACCCCCGCTCTCCCACCTTGTCTTTTGTTCCGCAGCTAACCCAGCCTCAGCCCCCGCCAAGCGGGTGATGTCACTTAAGGAGCCCACTGCCAAGATGTCCAAATCCCACGCAGACGAGCGGTCTCGTATTCTATTGACCGACTCCCCATCGGAGATTCACAAGAAAGTCAAGGTTGCTTTGACGGATTCGGAGCCAATGGTGACTTATGATCCCGCTCGCCGACCCGGGGTGTCCAACTTGATTGAGATCCTTAGCCATTTGGAAGAAGTTCCTTGCGCGACCCTCGCTGCCGAGTACCAATCTGCTAGCCTTCGTACGTTGAAAGAGCACGTCGCAAAACGAATTGCGTACCATCTTCAGGAAGTTCGAGAACGGTACGTTGAGATCATGGCAGATCAAAGCGGGTACCTGGACATGGTTGCCCAAGAGGGGGCGGAGGCGGCTCAAGCCAATGCGAGCCAGACCATGCGACAGGTCCGGGATGTCATGGGTCTGTGAGTGTAAAAAAAAAAAAAAAAAAAAAAAAGGGGGAAAAAAAAAGGAAAAGAAATACGAGATCAGCTAATGATCTTTTGTATATATTTTTCCCCATGTATTATTATGACCAAATTAAGTAGAATAATTTCTATTATTTGATTTTTACAAATCTGTTAATTAATACCGAGGTTCAAATGTGTTCAAATGTTGCCGACTCAGCACTGAAATGTCAATGTGGAGAGGGAAAAAATCAGGGTCCAATACGTTTCTTACTTTAAGTGTCAGCCTTGTGGTTATGGAGATTCAATCTATTAATAACCACAATTGCCTCAAAATTACCTACACAGAGTAATTGTAGTTATTGTATAAGAATGTAATCGGATGAACGGTTATACTCTCGTATTTTTCGCCTCCGTAAGGGGTCCACCTGGGTTGCCTAAAAATGCAATGTGGCGGTAGCTGAGTATACAGTAGATTTTGGGAAGTTGAAAATGTGACGGATATACATGTAGGTGATGTACGTGCAATATTCGATTCCATCTCAGATTTTATATAGTACTCTACTAGTATGCTAGTAGTACTCTACTGATAGTATGGGATCATCATCAATGTTACTAGTATATCACGTGGATATGCCTTCTTTCCCCTTTTGGCATCTGACACGCTAAGCCCCAAAGCGGCAAGAAGTGGAGAAGCGTCATCCATCTCCGCGTCATCAGTTTTCCGCCTCTCCACGTACTTGGCATACGTACGCAATTTGATCTGGTTCAATTCATCTTGACCTTTATATTTAAGAGATGTTCAATGTTGTTGGTCGCGTTTGTTCAATTTGCCATATATGCAGAATAAATTTTATATATTATATATATCATGTACGGAGTACAGAAATAGATATCATTTATATAATTGACGAGGCTGGTGACGCGCCCACTTTTCCCAGTGGGTCCTACTTTAGCGCTACAGAAAAAGAAAAAAGACCAAAAGTCGATGAAACTCCCAAGGCAACACTTTTGATCCACACCAATCAGCGGCTATTGGATTTGATCCATTTCTGGATTTCATGGAACAAGAAAAAAAAAAAAAAAAAAAAAAGAGAGAAAAAAAGGAGCAACCGAGGGTATCCGGTACCTTGAAAAAGGTCTATATAACTGATATAGAGAAAGAAGATAACGCCATCAGGCTTTAGTGCCATCGCGTGCATCCACTTCTTCCTCTTTTTTATCCTTTGATCCAATCTTCCCCAAAAAAAGACCCTGATTTATTTCTTATACTCTTCTCTTCCATTTTGACATTTCCCATTTCTAATTGTCGACCTCTTTCACCCCCTGAAAATTCAACCTCCGAACTCAAATATAAATAATACATAAAGGAAATCGCCGATCGCATACCAAAAGAGCCAGAAGGGGAAAAGAAAAGAAGAAAAAGAAAAAGAAATCGTCAACATGAAGAATGCGTGGGTTCTACTGGCGACCTATGCACTTCCATCTCTAGGTGCCTTAACGCTACACCAGCGAGACACTCCGGCTGTCGTCGGCTTTGATATTAAACGGAGAGATATCTCCAACCCCGTCGCCAGAGATCGTGCCAGACGGAAGCGGTCGGATACGGTCAGCGTGGGCTTGGATAACGAGGTATGCGACAAGAAAAATATATATTTTTTAAAAAAAAACCGACCTGAGACTCATCTTCTGAAATGTATAGGAACTCCTCTACCTGGTCAATGTCACTCTTGGTACTCCCGAACAAAGCTTGCGCCTGGTCATCGATACCGGGAGCAGTGATCTATGGGTGAATGTGCCCAATTCAACCTTCTGTGAAGAATACAAAGACTATTGCGATACTTTCGGTACTTACGATTCGAGTGATTCCTCCACCTATGCCTATGTAAACTCGGATTTCAATATCAGCTATGCCGACGGCTCCGGAGCCGCCGGTGTCTACGCTACCGAGACCCTTCACATTGGGGATAATACACTGACGGACTTTCAATTTGGAATTGGTGATACCTCGACTTCGGAAGGTGAGTTTAAATCCCTCCCGAAATTCCCCTTGACCTCAAAACTAATACCTGTGCTTATTCAGAGGGTGTATTGGGAATTGGATATATGACCAATGAAGCCGTGGTCGGCACTGCCGGGGCTTCATCCTACGCGAATCTGCCCAAGGCCATGGTGAACAAGGGCTTGATCAACTCCAATGCCTACAGTCTATGGTTGAACGATCTAGATGCCAGTGAAGGTTCCATCCTATTCGGCGGCGTGAACACCGACAAGTACCACGGCACCCTCGAGACTCTACCAATTCAAAAAACCGGCGACGAATACACGGCCTTCTATATCGATCTGACCGCAGTCGCCTTGACAAACTCCTCGGGAACCACCAACTACTCTTCCTCCGAACTCCCCACCGTGGTTCTGCTCGATTCCGGTAGCTCCCTGACCTATCTCCCGGACAGTGTGGTCGAGAAGATCTTCGACGACCTTGATGTCACCTACGAAGAATCCGAGGGCTATGGTTATGTCCCCTGCAGCATAGCCAAGAAGGACTACAATATCTCATACACTTTCTCCTCTCCCACCATCACCGTGGGCATCGCCGAGTTGGTCCTGGAATTGGAAGAGGCTTACTACAGTAATGGTGAAGCTGCCTGCACCTTTGGCATTGTTCCAGCGGGAGATAGTACCTGTGTGCTAGGAGATACCTTCCTGCGCAGCGCGTACGTGGTATACGATCTGGCCAACAACGAGATCTCCTTGGCCAATACCAATTTCGACTCCACTAGCAACAACATCAAGGAGATTGGCACCGGTTCGGATTCCGTACCGGGGGCCTCTTCCGTGGTTAACCCAGTAACCACTGCTGCCGCTGGGGGTGATGGTGCACGCATTGGAGGCCCCACTGGTGACAGCACTGCCGTCATCACCATGGGCAGTGGAAAGACCAGTAATCCTGCCGCACCAGGCCCGACCGGTATGCCCAAGCATCTGGCTTGGGGTCTTGCTGGCGCCGCTTTGCTAGCTCTGTGATTTATGGGCGAGACCTTATATGTCATGATCTTATTCTGACCACTCTAGATATTCTCTGCATGTTCATTTTTGGTGTATCGGAGTCAGCTTAAAGGTTCTAAATACCTTTCTTCTTACTGTTGATAGTTGTTTCTCTTCTCATGTGATATGAATTTTATATATACCTATTTCTTTTTGTCTTTTCTCGCCTTTTTATCATATTTACATATATTATCCAAGTCCCCAACTTTCAGTCCCCTCTTAGCAGACTCTTAGCACAGTTCTGAAAATAGTTAGAAATCAAATCAATGATTGAAAATTAACAGGTATGATAAAATTTCATTTCTACCTTCATAGTACATATACTGATGTCGGATCATTTCTGCCAAGCTTGGCGTTATCACCTCCCAAACATTATCTCCTAGACTTACGACTACTAAAATGCCTCGTATCTCAACCTCAGTACTGATCAAGGCCTACCAAGAAACCCCGCTTCTCCCATTACTGCTCAAAGAATGCCGTACATTGCCCTCCGCTCGAAACGAGTTACGTTGGCTCCGTGAGCGCGCGCTACGCGATAGCCAGTCAACGCGACTGGCGGGATCGCCAGGATGGCAAACGCGTTTAAGATCCATGTGCCGCCAGCGATCACGAGGGGTACCACTTCAATATATCTTGGGTGATCAACCATTTGGTGACCTGGAGATTCTTTGCCAACGGGGAGTACTGATCCCAAGGTTTGACCATTTCACGCTCGTCCTGTCCTAATTACAAGATCACTGACCTTGTCATCTAGGTCTGATACTGAATCATTCACTTTTCAAGCTGCCAAGATTATCCGCCAATTTGCTAAAGAAAGCAACAATTTAAGTCCGTCACCAGACGAGGGAATGCCTCTCCGAGTGCTGGACCTGTGCACGGGCACAGGCTGCATCGCCCTTTTACTGCATGCACTTCTGGCTCCGAACTTCCAGAACATGCAAATTCTAGGGATCGACATTAGCCCAACTGCTTTGAAGCTCGCTCACAAGAATTTGGCGTATAATTTGCGCCGGAATTTATTGACAAGCCGTGCTCTTAGCCAAGTCCACTTCCACCGTGCCGACGTTTTAGGCAAAGAGGACAATGTATCTGTGCCAACGATACAGGAGACTCTACGAGAACACTTCCCTCGGCGTGAAGCGTTTGGAAACGCAGGTGGGCTGACATCAGACTTCGAATGTGATTTATTGATCTCCAATCCGCCCTATATCTCTAATGCGGATTTCCGTAACGGCACCACATCTCGAAGTGTTAGGCGTTTTGAGCCACAATTGGCATTGGTGCCTAACACTCCCCAGTCGGAAATCCCTGAGGGTTGTAACGCAGAAGATGTTTTTTACCACCGAATTCTATCCCTCTCGCTTCAATCACAAGCAAAGATTACCGTTCTTGAATGCGGGGACACCATGCAAGCGTGTCGGGTCGTCGCCATGCATCAAGCAATGAGCGCGAAGCAGGCTGGGCAATTTATCACAGAAGTTTGGCCAAACTCGGACCAGGATTTTGCGGCGAATGGCTTCCACCCCCAGGATGGCTCGCGATGTGTGATCATACAGAGGCGAGATAATGTAAATGAATAAGATTGGGAATTGAGGATCGTTTTGGCCAGATGTTGATCTAGGTTTTGAAGATTATTTGGTATATACGTATATATACTATACATACATCTAGATCCAAGATCTTTCATTTTTAGTAACTTTGGAAATATGCATGTGTTGAACCTTTCACTGTCTGAAAACCCCTTGACAAGCTCTCAAGGTGATCTGGCAGGGAATTCTGGTAGACCGAGGTGGGATTACTAGCGCTATATAGGGTTCATTTGTCAAGGAATATTCAGTAGTAACTACTAAACTTCGTGATCTTTGTGAAAAATAAAGACCACGAATGATCATGGTCACTGACTTGTCACTTAACCAGCTTGTACTGGGACTTTAACTTGGTTTGTTTGGATGGTTGCTCGGATCGGATTTTCTCAACTTCCGAACTGCCGTTTCATTTACTAGGAGCTCGGAACTTCTAGTCACCCTCACTTCCTCTCTTGCCCTTGAATCACATTGTCCATTCCAGACATTGCATCTCATGGCTGACTACGAACGCCGGAATCACGGCCCTCGCGGTGGTGGTGGTGGCGGCGGCGGTGGACGCAAGCGCCGCTACAGAGGTGAGCGACACGTTCAAGCTTCCCTGTGACGATAACTGACAACTAGGAAGATGACGAGGATTTTGATCGCCGCCCCCAGAGACGCAGATATGAAGAGCCTTTATTTGTCCAGGTCCGACGTCAATTGCTGACTATTGCTGAATCGGTATGAAATCTAACGCCCTTGCATTTCGCGCTTTTACCTACGAATGAATACCTTGAAACCAAATACTGATGCGCAAACCCATTTGATAGGCTGCCCGGAGAGTGGAAGATGATATCATGGGAATCGCCAAGTCGGCTGCTGAAAACTTCGACGACGAGGAGCTACGCGACACCTTCGTTAACATTTCTCTGGACCTGTACGCGTGCCCATCCAGATCCACCAATACCCTCGGAAGCTTGTGAAGATTGGACTGACGTCGGAATCCCAATGCAGTGTTCAGGAACAACCGATGAAAATCCCTTTTGTGGCCGCCACAACCCTGGTCGCTTATAACCTCAAGGCTGAATTGGGTGCGGAAGTGCTTAAGAAGGCAGGCGAGATCTTGCAGAAACACATCAATTCGGGGTCATGGCGAGAGGTGAAGCTTGTCCTTCGCTTCTTGGGGCTGTTACAGCCTCTCTTTGAGGGCGATGGTATTTTCCCGCTGTTGGAGGAGCTGTTTGCTCGTGCTGTTGACCTTCAAACGGCATCCTCGGAGGATGTAGGTGGGCTTCGTTACCAGGTGGATTGCTCAAAAGCTAACAATTGGACATAGCTGCTCGGTCTGGAGCTTACCAAGATTATTTTGTTCACTATTCCTTATGTGATGTCTTCTCCCGCCACCGGCTTTGAGCTTCAGGCTATGGCGCTCCTTGAGAAAACGGACATCATTGCGTCTACGCCACACGCATTGGTGGACCTGGTGAATACTTTCAGCCCCGAAGAGAACAGGGAAGCTGCTGGACCCAGTGTTATCGGTCTTCTCCAAAGTCAACTACAAGGCGAGGCTAGCCGGGGCTGGGAGTTGAAGTGTCTCCCTCGTCCTTGGAAAGGTGTTCAGAAAATTGAGCAGGGTGAACAAGATTCTGAACAAGAATTTTTCGTACCAGTGAACAAGGTCTCTTTCCCACAGATCAATGTTCCCAATCCTGTGCCGAACGGTGCCCGCCCTCTTTTCCCCGAAGTTTACATCTCGGTGTATGCCAACCAAGAAATCGATACTGTGCCTCCACCTTCAGATGTCACGTCGCTGCTCATAAGAGACGCATTGGTGGACACCATCGATCTTCTTGACTTCAACCGTGTTGCAACGGCCAAGTATTTGATTGATGTGGACTGTTACTTCACCCCGCACACCTTCGTCAAGCGCGCCACGCCCTTTGACCGCATGCGTGACCTTGCTGGCGAGGGTCAGTCGTGGAAGCCCGAAGATGTTGCAGTGGATGCCGTGTTCTCTCAGCTGTATCGACTGCCCACCTCCGAGCACAAACTGGTATATTACCATGCCCTCTTGACCGAGTGCTGCAAGATTGGCCCCGCCGCCATCGCGCCTAGCTTGGGTCGTGCTATTCGGTTCTTGTATAATAACCTGGAGACCATGGATCTGGAACTGAGCAACCGGTTCTTGGATTGGTTTGCTCATCATCTGAGTAACTTTGGTTTCACATGGAAATGGAGTGAGTGGTAAGTAAAATATAGATTTCCAAGACAAGTGATATACATGCTGACACAGTTCTAGGGTTGATGATCTTGAGCTTCCTGCCATCCATCCCAAGCTGGCCTTCATCAATGGTGCTTTGGATAAGGAAATCCGCCTCAGCTTTGCACAGCGCATTAAGGGTACTTTGCTGGAGCCCTATATTCCCTTGATCACAGAAGGCAAGGAGAAGGATACACCCGAGTTCAAATATTTCTCCGAGAGTAAGTTCTCATATCCCCAACAAGAAAAAGAAACCAAAACCAAAAAAAAAACCCCTGAAAAAGAAAAAGAAATGAAAAAGAAAGAGAGGAACGAATTCGGTGGAGATGTTCTCGCATGATGACTTTGATACTAACTGTGGAATGATAGCGACCCCATACGCTAAGGAAGGACAGGAGATTATGCAGCTCATCCGAAAGAAGGCCAGTGATGAAGAAATCCAGCCAGTGATTGTAGCAATCGAGGAACAGGCCCAAAGTCTGGGAGTAGAGGACGTCAAGGTGCCTTCGACGGATGCCTTGATGACCTCAATCTGCTTCGTGGGATCCAAATCTCTCTCTCATGTTCTCTCGTGCATTGAAAGAAACAAGGACCGGCTGCTGGCCATCGGACCGGTATCGCAGCGGGCCCGATGCCAGATCATTGCCTCCGTGATGGAGTACTGGGCTGACCAACCCGGCATCGCTATCAACATCATCGATAAGCTCCTCAACTACACGATCATCAGCCCCTTTTCCGTACTTGAATGGGCTCTTTCGGAGTCTCTGGGAGCTGGCACGGTGCTTGCCAAGGCTCATATCTTCGAAATGATCTCCGCTACCGTCGGCAAGGTTACCAATCGTATGCGCCAGATCGTCGCGGCTCGTATCCAGCCTGGCCTGTACGAACCCCAGCTGAGTGTGATAGATGGGACACTTGCCCGTGAGAGGACCGAGATGCAGACGCTGTTCAAATTCATTGAGGATTCCATTGTCTCAGTGGCTGCTGGCAGTAATGATGAGCTGATGGAGCGTGGGGATGGCAGCGGAGATCTGCCGGAGGACGCTATTATTCGCCAATGGGGTCGTCGATGGCTTCGTGTGTTCAGACGCAAGGTTGCCGTGGAAGAGGCCTTCATCATGGAGTCTTTGGTGAACGCCACCCCGGTTGGCACTGTCGCTCCCGTTCAGGCTGATGCTGGAATCACTGGTGATGGAGACATTAAGATTGCCGATGCAGATGAGCAATAGTGTGTTTTTTTATGTAGTCAGCCTATCAGGGGAGGCAGAAGCACTTGAGAGGAGTACACACGTGGACCTGTCACTATATGGACCACGTACACACTGTAACATTTTTACTATCTTATTACAATATTTTTTTTTCTTCCTATTTTCCGTAAATCTTTTTTTTTTCTTATACTCCACAATGGATGTATCAATTATCACGGCACGAGCGACTGGATGAATATAGAGGGGAAAAGGACGATCTTAATCTCCTACTTCTACACTAGTTATTCTCGAGTTTTGTACTCCCAACATTTGAACTCCATTCAATGTTTCCACAGCAAAAAAGAAACCATATTCATGTATATAATGTCAATATATCTTCATGTATGTCATACATATATACTAAAAACTACGTATCAGAAAAGTCCAAGAAAAGAAAAAGAGAGAAAAAGCAAAGACACCCATTGTCTCAAGTGCTAGGATTCTTAAATGACAGACATGTACATAAGTGCACGTCCCTCTAGACTAGTTCGACAAGATTCTGTCAATATTGAATAATAGTTATATAATTAAATCTAACTATGTAGATCTCAAAAAGAAAAGAACTCCCCCCTCCCCCCAAAAGTCCAGAATGGCCTTAGCACTTGGAACCTGGTTAGTTAGATCTGCCCAATAGGTTACTATGTATGGTCAGGCAGCTGTCAAGGCAAACGCTAAAATACAAATAAAAACACAATACTTGGTAGACTTCGTGTATACGTGGAATTCGCCCCTAATATGTAGAATACAGAGAGGAAAGACACATGGGGGAAAAATGAAAGAGAAGAATGAAAAATACAATAAATCATGAGATCATATACATCTTAAACACAGAAACCAACATCAGAGAGAGGAACTCCCCAGAAAATCATACAAAGCCATCCAAGAAAAGAACCCGGGTATATATAGAAGAAAGATCCAGGAGAAATCCGAATCACGCCATCAATCTTCTCTCACGTGGAAATGAAGAAGAAAGAGCAAAGAAAAACAAAAAAATAAGAGACAGAAGAAAAAGAGAAGAAGAGAAGAAGAGAAGAAAAAAAAAAAAAAAAGTCCCCAAATAAAAGACACCGAAGGGGCTTGTAAGAATTGATATGCTTCTTACCGCCGATCCATCATGTATGGACCCGGTTCATCTCCATCACTGCTGGATCCGCCCGTGTACACCGAGACGCTATCTTCATAGCTGCCTCGGCGGATCTGCGAAGGATCATCATCCGATTCCATAGATAACATGCGATGCAGTGTATCGCCTGTCATGGACCTCTTGGTGGTCATGATCCGTCGATCCTTGCCTCGGCCCTTGATGCCCTTGTTGCTATTCTTGTAAAGGGAAGCAAAGTATTCCCATAGTTCGCGATCTTGTGGATTGACCGATGTCTGATCGCCAATTTGAGAGAATCGCATGGTCAACGAACGGATGGTGGATGCGTGGAACTTATTTTGGTGGGACTAGTAGATCGAGAAATGAATGTGAGCCCGTTGAAACTGGAACGTGCAGGTCTGATAGATCGACCACCTCTTTCTTACCTTTAGATTCCCAAGTTGGGTAAACTTCTTACCGCAGCTGTCCAGCAAGCAGGTAAATGGCTTATTCTTGAGATGTGTGGTCTTATGGGCCCGTACATTGCCCCGTTGGGCGAATCTTTTATGGCAGATATCACAGGAGTAGGGTTTCTCGCCCGTGTGGCGACGTTCGTGGGTCTATTGGGAGGCGAAATCGAGTCAGATTCAGTTCCGTATGGTTTCTCAGAGTTAGGGAGGGGGAGGGGTTAGATTCCCCCTCTCCCCGCAGGAATCTATCTTACCTTGAGGTTGCCTAGCTGCGAGAACCGTTGTCCACAGGAAGACTCCTTGCATATCTGCATGATTACCGTATTAGTTGGTAATTCTCCATCATCAAGTATTGATATATAACCCAACTCACAAATGGCTTCACGCCTGTATGCGCTCGGGTATGTATATCCAGATGTGTCTTCTGCGCAAAACTCTTGCCACAGTCTGGCAGCATGCAAGTATACTTGCGCTTCTTACCAGACCGCGACAGCTGACTTTCACTGCTTGGAACACAGTGCGGTGGTGACATGGGGTAGGATGGGTAACCTGGCGGTGCTAGCTGCTGCAGGGGTGGCAGTGACTGTTGGACCTGTGGGATCTGCTGGAGCTGCGGAACCTGTGGCGGCTGCTCGGGAGATGGGCTAGAATCCGGCTTGGCCTGAATGGCTTTCATCAAGACGTCGACTTCGGTCGAGAACTCAAAGTTGGATCCTTCTTTCTTCACGGCGACGGCTCCAAAGACTCGAGCATCAGATGCCTTGGTACCCTGATTGATGGCATTCTTCGCTGGTCGAATTTCCGGGAGTGAGTGTAGCGTTGGTTGATCAGTCAGACGAATCGGAGATGAGAGCGGGGGTTGACTGGCTCCGAAGTAATGTCCATATGAGGGAGCAGGCTGACTGAGAGGTCCGAAGTGGTACGGGCCCGAAGTTGGAGCATGGTACGGGAGCGCGTATGGTGCGGTTGTGGGATGATGGGCATAGTAAGGGAACAGGGGTGAGTCCATTCGACGATGGCCAAAGGTGCCCATATGTCCATGTCCATGTCCATGACCATGGCCATGACCGGGGAATTCATAAGACGACACAGGTTCGGCGGTCTCCATGACTTTGATTTCTTTCTGGGGTTCTTTATGTTCCCTCCCTTTTGTTGTCTGCGTGTACCTTTTTTTTTTTCTTTTCTTTTCTTCTTCTCCACACTTTATTGACACCTTTCGAATTCCTTCACAATGTGAAGCGTTATTGTTTCCTGTCCGTTCTGTCCTTTCTTTCCTTTCTTTCCTTTCTTTCCTTTCTTTCCTTTCTTTCCTTTCTTTCCTTTCTTTCCTTTCTTTCCTTTCTTTTTTCTTCTTCTTCTTCTTCTTTCTTTCCTTTTGTAATTTGGTTTCTGTCTGAAAGGTTAAAAAAAGAGAAGCAAGAAGGTCTGGGATATAAGAAGTAGACAAACCAAGCAGGGAATTGACCACGGGGGCCAGGGTTTGATCTATATAAGTGCGGATAAGTGCATAGATCTGTATGATTGCCCACTAGTGGATCACACTTATATGACGTTCCCTGTCGACTTGTTAGAGGGGAAGAAGAAGTAGTTCGAGGCTAGACGTGCATGGTCGATCGTTCAGGGATCCGTGGAGACCTGAAAGCCCGCATAATGGGACGCATCGATTTTATTATTGAATTTTTTTTTTGATTCTTGGCCCCAAATTGTATTTTTGCAGAATTTCGCTCTAATGCAAGTAGCTCGGTAAGTGAAAAAAAAAGAATTAAAAAACAAAAAAACGTAAAATGTCCAAAGGCAAAACTCGGTGTAGCAGCAGATAAAAAAGAGAGAAAAAGATAAATGTAGCCGCGACTGGCGACTGCTTAATATCTCGGACTCCACACATGACACCTGACTAAACTTGGCTGATTTTCTCTTTCCCACTTTCCCCTTCATCACTTTCTTTCATCTGACGATTTTCTCACATACCCATCTCTCATATGTTACCATTCATCCTACAAGAAAGATCGAAAAGAAAAGAAAAGAAAGAAAAAAAAAAAAAACAAATGCATCACCTCGAGGGCGGCCCGGGCCTTCGGGCTTTCAAAGTGGACCAAGGGATCTGCAGTCGACGAGTAAGCCTCCGTTCATTGGGGCAATCCGGATGCGCCCGTCCGATAGTCGCCAATAGCGTCCGATCCTCGTCCAGCGAATATCCCAGCTAGCCGCCCATGGCCTTGGAAATTCCCCCCCGATCGGTTTCAGCTCCCCAGATCGACGATCCTGTGGTTCCTCGTTCGTATTCTGTTGTGCTCTCTACCCACCCATACCCCCCTCCAATGGTCGTCTTCCTATTACTTGATTTGGTATATGCTTTCCACCTGCACGTCGTGCAAAAGTGTTCCTGCAGGGATTGAGAGCAGAGAGGCGAAAAAGAAAAGAAGAAAAAGACAAAGAGCAAGAAAAATAGACAAGAAAAAAAAAAGGACCACTCCTTTACCAGTCAGAAAGCCTTCTAAACAAACCACTACAAAATTTCTGGGGACTCACGGGCCCTTCTCGTACCTGGATCCACCCACAGGACTCGACAGGTCCTTTTCGTACAACCCATATGCCTGCGAGCCTCTCTCTCTCTCTCTCTCTCTCTCTCTTGGACCCATCTACTCGGTTCCTGTGGTTCCTGTGTGACGTACAGTCTCGTGTACATACTCGGGCTTTACAGTAACCCAAAAAAAGGGGATATTTGCATTTTTGTTTGCGAATGACATTATTCCAATGAAACACAAGCAAATGGGGAGGGAAAGGGCCCCCAAAAAGATAAAAAGATAAAAGAAAAGAAACAGACACCAGCAAATTCGAACAGCCCGACCCAGCTTGTAAGTGGGGATTCCAAAATCCAAGCAATAAAAAAGAGGCATCCGAAGACAAGAGATAAGACAAAATAATAAAAGATGTCACATTGCGCCAAGACATCCCCCGAACCCCCTTTACCGTCCAGTGTAGTTGGAGTATCTAAGAAGAAAGAAAGAAAAGTCAGATTGAACACAGGGAACTCAATGGAATCCAAAGAGGAAGAGAAAAAAAGGAATGCTTACCTCCAGATCCGTGCACGCATGTCTCCACTGCCGGTTGCAAAGAGGTTGCCAGTTGGGGCTGGGGCAACAGAGATAACTAGATGCCGCGGAGAAAGATTCGAAGTTAGTAAATCGATCATGACACAATTCAGATAAGAATAAGGCATTTCAACTCACCGGAGTTCTTGTGGCCCTGCAACATCATCTGGGCATTGCCAGTGATCGGGTCCCAGAACTGAACGCCCCGATCCTTGGAGCCACTCATGACCCACTGGCCATCGGGCGTCAGGCACACGCTAAGAACAAAGTCCTATAATGAACAAGGTTAGTGGGGGAAAAAAAAGAAATGGCAGTGACAAGTGGAGAACGGGAAATAGAAGGAGCCAAAAAAAAAAAGACAGGAAAAAGTAAAGAAGAAAAGAAGAAAATAAAAAGGCACGAACCTTGTGGCCTTCAAATGTCCGCACACACTTGCCGCCCTTGACGCCACTGTGGGGGTGCATACCCCGCGGGACAGTCAATTCCCACAGTTTGATAGTCTTATCCAAACTACCGCTAACCAGGTCGCGACCATTGGGTGCGAAGGCAACCGAGTAAACACTATCCTTGTGTCCATCCGGGTTCTCTAGTCGCTCCACCAAGTAGCCAGTGGTAGTGTCCCATACCCGCACGCTCTTGTCCAGCGATCCAGCAGCCACGTAGTGTCCATCGGGGGACATGGCCACCGTGGTGACTCCGTCCTCAATGCTAAGAGTGTAGACCAGCTTGCCATCAAGGATGTCCCAGAGACGCACGGTCTTGTCACCACTGCCCGAGGCGATGTAGCGACCATTACCGGCGAAATCTAGTGAGTAGATATCTTGTTCGTGACCGGTGAAGATGTTCTTGATGGTGCGCGAGGCAATATCCCAAACCTATTATCCAAAGTAGGTCCCGTTAGTGATCTCTTTTTGGAATTTACTATAATCTTGCAAATCACACGGGAAGAGGGGGATATGTTCACTTACTCGAATCTGCTTGTCCTCAGCACCAGTCGCCAGGTATTTACCATCGGGACTGAAGCACACACTGCGGATGTAAAGGTCGCCATCCTTATCGACGTTCTCATCTTGCAGAGTGGCCACATTTTGTCCAGTGGTCACATCAAAGATCTGCGCAGAGCGATTGCAGCCCGTCGCCAGGTACTTGCCATCGCGGCTGAAACGAACACAGCAGACTACGCTGTCGTGGCTAAGGTGATGCACCAGCTCGACATCCAGCACACGCTGGACCTCTGGGTTGAAGACCGCATACCAGTCTGTACCTTCACGCTTCTGGGATGGGGGCAGGTCCTCCGGGTTCCAGTTGGCCAACATGTTACCCGGGCGATCGGATCGAGCAACGGGGGCCGGTTGGTTGCTTGGGGGAGTTGGGCGGATCTGAGGAGAGGCACGAGGGTCGGGGTAGGACAATTGAGTTGGCTGAGGAGTAGCTGGGCCAGGAGGCGCACGGCGGGGTTTACCAGGGCCCGGGGACGCGGTGGGAGGTGGTGGGGGTCCACCATAACCTGTGGAAGTCAAATATAAGTCAGCGACTCGACAAGGAATCCCTTAATCACTCTCACATACCGGTCACAGCAGCACCCGGTGGGTATCCCCCAAAGGAACTCTGCAGGGGCTGGCCAGGCTGGGCGGCCGCGACAGGCTGTTGAAGAGCATGCTGGGGAGGCTGCTGATCCTGGGGAGGGGGAGGGGCAAGACCGGGACCACTACCTCCTTGGTTGGCCATGATGCCACTGAACAGGTTGCTCGGGCCGTGGCCGACCTGTGGTGGCTGGCCTGGGGGAGCTGTGTGCGCCGTGGGTGCGATGTGAGAGACGGTTTGCACACCGCGCGACTCCAGTTCGTGTCGCAGCATGCGGATCTCGGCTTCGTAACTATCATGGGAGGATAATGGTCAGTATCAACCAAGATCAATTTGCGCAAGAGAGAGGGGACAAAGAGCTAAAAATGAGAGGGGTCCCACGAACTCTTGCTTCATCTTGACCTGAGTTTGCTCCAATTGATACACCTTCTGACGGATCATCTCCATCTCCTGGAGCTGACCGGTAACTGCATGATCTATCAGTTAGAAAACCATTCAGCGCATTTCATGACCTAAGAGTCGTAGCCATGGATGGACTAGCGACTTTGAAGAGATAGGGGTCGCTCCAACACAGTATATTTTGAAAGCCTTGCGTAGAGCGTTTGGGTGGAGAAGGGGGAGGGATAAGCAGGCAGGTAGGCGGGTAGGCATGTAGGCGTGGCGGTAGATAACAAATTCAAAATGGCGGAGCGATACACATACACTGGTGTTCAAATTCGCCGGTGCTGCGAGATTGGGTTTCGAATTCCTGGCGCAGCTGATCCAACAACTCCGTCAGACGGGAGTTGGGAGCGGGCACCATGCCGCGATGAGCGTTATACATAGTGATGATTTGACGGGGTTGAAGGGGTTTATTGGGACGAAGATTTTGAGGCAAGGTAGATTTGGAGCTGAGGAGGTGGAAGTGGAATTAACAACAGCTTTTGCGACAACAAATCGCAGCTGGGGACAGGGTCACGAAGCCGATCACTGGGCAATTGCTGCTTGGTGAGCGACACCAGGCAGCTAGTCACCGCAATGATGAGAACCCAAGAAAGGATATAGGACGATTCAAATGAGAGCAGAAGAAGACCCGATAAAGGGGTGTTTGTTTGATCTGAATGAGCCTGGATGGATTTAAGGTGTTATCCGTTGGTTAGAGGGGAAGAAGAGGCTGGGTTGAAGTTTGGGGCAGAATCGGGCGGCTACTGCCGTTGACGCCAGAAGCGACGCACTAGGCGAGAAGCGCAGAAAAAAAGGTTCTGGACTTGCAAACCTGAGCAAAACCTATGAGGATAATTTATTTCAATATTTATTTTAATTTATTTCTGATGAATTCAGATCGATTTGAATACCAATATAGCAAGATGGCTAAATCTATCTAGAAATTTAACAAATAAAAAAAAGCTGAAACAAGGGAAGGAACAAGAGTAATATTGAACACTTGAAAGTAGCTCCAAGTACTAGTATATAATGTATGGGGAGCTACTACGTATGAGTATGGGTACATATGAGGTCTGTTTGCAGAAAAGGTCCAGACTTGAATTTACTCCCAAGGAACTGCATACTTGGTACCTTTCAGTACGATATGGCCTTGAAGCCTTACAGCCTTGGTGCCTTATGATACCGCCTTGGTGCCTTGGTGCCTTGATGCCTTGACGTGGTTCCTGCAGAAGTCCAAAGCCAAAAAAGGGGTAAAAAAAAAGAACAACTCTTGGTTAACTACTTCTAACTGTGATGTTCAATTATTCCTCTTTCTAAGAGTGTGGCATGATCGCTCATCCTCGTATCAAATCCAATTCTTTCCTCTATATATCATATGATTTTATACCTTAATGAGTTCAACTTTCCATTGTACTCTGTACTCCGTAATTCGTAGTATATCTGATCCTTGGATTATTAAGGGGGGGAATTTCCCAGCGGCAGAGGCCGTTCCGCGCTGGTGTGATGCGGGCAGAATTTATTATTCGCCCCTCGGAATATACAGTACACTTTTCTCCCTTGACGATTTCTCCTCTTTCACCAATTACCTCCTCCCCTATTCTTCTTACCCCGGTGTAAGTCGATCATGGATATCATTCTAGAATTGTGGGACACCTTCATTGGTGATCAACTGTATTCCACTCTTCTCCCCAACTCCATCGCCTCGTCCGTCTCCTTTCAGGGCTTCGTCAATGCCGCCAACAGCTCTCTGTCCTTGTTCGGCGCAGCCGAACCATTTATCTATGAACCGGCTACTCAGTTGATTCATCTCGAACCCTCCAAATATGCCTATCTCAGCGCGTGGCCACGGAATAACATCTACCGCCAATTCACCAGTTTCTTCTTGATCACTTGGTATGCGCCGACACCCTGATACCATCTGCCTGGTATGGTTCTTGAATTAACACAATCCCAGGATCTTCGGTCTCCTCGTTTACTTTGTGGTTGCGACGCTCTCCTATATCTTCGTCTGGGACAAAACCACCTACAACCATCCCAAATTCTTGCGAAACCAGATTTCCATGGAGATCAAGCAGGCCATGGGCGCCATGCCCCCAATGGCCCTCTTGACCGCGCCTTTCTTTGTCCTGGAAGTTCGGGGCTACGCTAAGCTCTACGACACCGTCGCCGAGGAACCCTTCCGGTTTTACAGCATTCTCCAGATCCCATTCTTCATCTTCTTCACCGATTTCTTCATCTACTGGATCCACCGTGGTTTGCACCACCCGCGTGTCTACAAAGCCCTCCATAAGCCACACCACAAATGGATCATGCCGAGTCCTTTCGCCTCCCACGCCTTCCACCCCTTGGACGGCTGGTCCCAAAGTGTGCCATACCACGTGTTCCCGTTCATCTTCCCCCTGCAAAAGGTGGCCTATGTATTCCTCTTCGGTTTCATCAACCTTTGGACTGTCTTCATTCATGATGGAGAGTATGTCGCCAACAGCCCATTTGTGAATGGAGCTGCCTGTCATACTATGCACCACTTGTACTTCAACTACAACTACGGACAGTTCACTACGCTATGGGATCGTTTGGGGGGTAGCTACCGCAAACCTAATGAGGAACTCTTCCGACGGGAGACCAAGATGGGTGATCAGGAATGGAAACGGCAGGCCAAGGAGATGGAGGCCATCTTGAAGACTGTTGAGGGTGAAGATGATCGCAGCTACTCCGCCGCCCAGAAGAAAACCCTTTGAGATGAGAGCAGGTCCTCCGCCCCCGATACACGTGTGTTAACGGCCTTCCGAGTCTCGAGGCTGAGTCTCGGGTTCATTTGTTTTATGGAGTTTTGGGCTCTGCTTGCATAGGTTCATCTTGGGTCCCCGAAAATTTCTTTCATCCGGGCTAACCCACCATGATTCCAACTACATTATTCTTAATATTGTGTTGCATATTTGTTTGTTTGTTTCTGTTTTTTAATTCTTCTCCACAGGACGAGAGAAAGGGGGCCAAAAATAGCCCTTAGTCCTGCTTTCTGTACATAACATATTCCTATCATGGTGACTAAAATTCATGTTCATGACCACGAAATCTTTTAATCTCAAATCAGCTTGCCCATATCTTGCCAAATTCACTAGCTTGAATATGTACATTTACTCCCTCGCCTTATATGTAACTTTATGTCTGTATACACTGTGATATGTTCACAACTTCCCGGCTTGTCTGCTCGGACTTGGCAAGAACCAGTCCATATACTTGCGCTGCAACGAAGGGGTGACGCCGGTCACAGGGTGAGATAGCTCTTTGCCTCCGTTACAGTACTTGCGTACCGCATCTTCAGCGTGTCCCTGAACGTCATATCCGTAGATGTCCAGCACAGTCTGTGGGTCCCCATAGAGGTTGCTACTGCGCACAAAGTACGTGCCTTCTAGCTCGGGCGCCATTGCTGCATCGCGCTCTTGCTGCAGCGGCCCATCTGGCAACTGCCAGATCGCTCCATTCATAAAGGACACCTGCTGTTTGGCATATGCTTTGGGCATGCGCTCTGCCTCGTAGATACTGACGGCGTCCTTAACACCAATTTTCCCCTGAACAACAGCCTCGATACACTTTGCGAGGAAAGCTCCATCTTCCATAGAAGTGGCTGCCCCTTGCGCCATGTGGTTCACCATGGAATGTGCGGCATCGCCCATGAGTACCACGTTTTTCTGGGGCGATGACCAAGACTCCAACGGTCCAGTTACCATCAGTGGCCAGCGCGACTATAACAATCATTAGTAAATGTTTTTTTTTTTGAACTTCCGGGTTTTCTTTCTCAAGTCAAAAGAGAGGCACTCACGACTTCCGGGATCATGTCTACAATGCGCTTGATACGTGGATCATAGTCCTTGTATTCCTCCCGCATTTCTTCGATAGACACGTCTTCTTGAGTAGCACGCAGTTTTTCTGGGCGATGATGCGAAAGGACTAAGTTAAACATATTGCCGGCTGAGATTGGATACGTGATGATATAAGACTCAGGGGCCATCCAGACCTCCATGGTTAGCTTTTCAATGAGCTCCTTGGCAACGGGATCCTGGCGAATTTGGTCGTATGGCACAATAGCTCGGTATGCACAGTTGGTGGTTGGAGGTTCCGGCTGGACATCTGGAAATAACGTGCGACGGACAACACTATTGATTCCATCCGCACCGACGCAGAGGTTGAAAGTGTATGAATCCCCTTTCTGGGTAGTCACAATGACTTCATCGGCTTGGTGGTCAATTTTGACAACGCGTGAGTCAATCTTGATCGTGGCCCCGGCCTTTGCAGCTACTGTGGCCAAGCCCTCATGGAGATGTGCCCGATGAACCACCCACCATGGTCGCTGGAGATCCCGTTCAATGGTGTCGATTTTGGTATAGCCGACTGGAGTACCATCTTTACGCCGCATATTCAATTCTTCAAATTGTACCAAGTTCTCTCCAATGATCTTATCCACGCCCCATCTCTGAAGAAGCACAGAAACATTTGGAGTCATCTGGATTCCTGCTCCGATCTGAGTTGAAGAGTTGAGTTGGTCTTAGCCTGAGTATCTTTCGCGTATTTCATCATCAATTGATAGATTCAAAGCTGGAACGAGGATAAAACATACTTCTCCTAGCCCTTGAGCTGCTTCCAAGACAGTGACTTGGGCGCCAGCTTGGCTCATTGCAATTGCAGCAGCTAGCCCGCCAATTCCTGCACCGACGATACCGATATGCGGACGAGAAGTCTTATCATGGTCAATGAGATTGAAAGCCCTGTTTAGGTGACTCGATAGAACTCACCATGTTGGAAGATTCAATGTTGTTAGTATATACGTATATCGATGCTGAAAGAGATGTGAACAATCAATGTAGATTGTAAGTACATATATATTGTGGCGCAAATATATGCGGGGGTTTGGAGGAGCCGACATGATTATTTTCAAAATGACCAGATGCCCAATCCCCAACGATCTGAATGGTCCATGGACATGAGTGGGGTCATTATGGATGACAATTGCCGGTTGGTTTTCAAGGCAAGTTCGTCCAGTGTACGGGGAAATCGGGAATGAGAAGCTTGGGGGGAAGAGGTTTGGGGTAAATGGAGGATCGGGGACTTCGGGAACTTTGGAGTAAACAATGCTTTGGTTCTTTGGTTCTTTGGTTCTCAACTCCGGATTTACCATCTAGCGCCAGCCACCCCGAGATTGTGGAGATCTGCCAAGCATTTGAACAAGATGTGTATGATTCTCTTCAAAAAAGGGACTGTGTTTCTGACCATGGTTCAAGGACAGAGAGGGAGAGAAAGATGAAAATCAGGCAGAGAGAGAGAGAGACCAGAGGAGGAGCTTCACCGCTGCCGAGGTCAGAGTGGAGCGACCTCTCATGTCTATCTCCCCGCTCTTTTTCTCCCCTCTTCGTTTTAAGGTGCGCCATGTCACAGTTGGCCCATCCCCCTAAACGTCGGCGTGCAGTTTTGGCCTGCAACTCTTGTCGTCACCGCAAATCCCGAGTAAGCATGCAGATTCAACGTCACGGGTTAGGAACTAACAACTTGGACAGTGCGACGGAGGTAGACCGTGCACTCAGTGCAAGGAGCTCGGATGTGATTGTATCTATCAGGATGTCGGCACATCTTACAATCTGACCGTGGAAAAAAGGTAAATGCCCCACCAATATGCGTCTTATCAAGGGAGATCTTTCCTCTTTCCCGGGGAGTTAAGCTTGATTCTGACTGGCAAGTGTAGTTATTTGGCTCGACTAGAACACAGAATCCTAGACATCGAGGCATCTCTCCGTAGATTGGAAAACAATCAAGACAATGGTACTCCCTCGACGTCATCTGAAGGGACTACTACGGTAGTCGATCATTCAGTGAGGAATGAGATTGAACCGGACCCGGGCCTGAAGTCAGACCTTCCAGTACGCTCCTCCCATACGATGGTCCCTCCAGAAAGGGCTGAGTTTGGGGAGATAGATGCCTCGGAGAACTCAATTGATGGTATGGGGGCTATCAATTTCGCAGAGGAAGAGGATTGTGGCTTTTTTGGTAAGACACCCGTGGACCCCTCCCTGTATACATACACAGACACATACTTGTGTATAGAATGCGTGTGTACACATCGACATGAGACTGTGTAGATCAACCAACATGGCTGTTGACTAACCCTCCATCAGGTCCGTCATCCAATATTGCATTCATGCGTCATATCTCTCGTGCTATTGCCAAAGGAAACCCACAGGGTGGCCATGTTCCATCTATATACTCTCCCGCACAGACCGGTGGCGGAATGTTGAATGTGTCAAGATCCCGACCTTCAATAGACGACTCTCGAGGTAAAGTACAAATATCCAGTGAGAATGGGATCAACGTTTTTGCTTTGCCCTCCGAAGAACGCACATGGAGTTTGATACAAATTTATTTCGAGAAAACCGGCCAGCTACTGCCATTCATCCACGAGGCATCGTTTTGTGAGACTTATTTCCGCATGCGAGAAGAAAATTTCAATCGAGTACGTCGGACATGGCTCGGATTGCTCAATATTATCTTGGCTATTGCCACAAGCCTCAACACAGAGGGTGATTTGCCTGCCGGCAGAAGAATACAGGAGTCAGATATCTACTTCCAGAGGGCGAACGGGCTCTGCGATAAGGATTCCAAACGGAATGCAAGTCTAGAGATGGGTGAGTAGCTTCTTGCTAGGCCATGATAACTACCACCCCGCATACTAAGCGAGATACATGATAGTGCAATATCTGTTGGTCCAGGGTCAATATCTGCAAGGAACCCAGAAATCCGTTCAAGCGTGGACGACGCACGGTTTGGCTATTTCGGCAGCGTTTCAACTTGGTCTACACTCACCCGAAGCCAACCGGCGTTTTTCGCCGGTGGAAAGTGAGATTCGCAAGCGAACCTGGTTTGGTTGTATTCTGCTGGACAGGTAAAGATCTCAAGACCGATCTCTTGTAACCTTGTCCTCTGTAAAGGTGCTAATCTCCCTATCAGAACGTTGAGTATGACCTTTGGTCGTCCCTGCACCATTCCGGAAACATATGTGAAGCTGGAAATGCCCGTCAAAGATATGCAGGTTCTTACCAGCACACCAAAGTCCGAAGCATATCCTCAGTTGGATGGTTGGTTCTTTACCGCAGCCATGTTGGTACTACCCTTCTTATCTGACTTGCCAAAACTAAACATACTAGAAAACTATATGTTGTAATGTTCAACGTTCTCGACAATTGCTATTGTCAGAATTTAGGATTTGAACATCCGTTAACTACAGCAAATGCAGTGCCTCAAATTCTTGACGGCGAGCGTCAACTCCAAGAATGGCGTTTTTCAATTGTGCCCTCTCTTGGTATCCGCCTCTGGCATGAACCTTTACTTGCCGACGACTTAGCACACCTGGATCCAGAATCCACGATTCGTCATCGATTTGGTATCGTTCTCTCGGTTCGGTATCACAATCTACGCATTCTTCTCTATCGAAAGTTCCTAGAGTGCTTTCTGGATGCATACAGCGCCGATGATTCAGCTTCACAGGAAAATAACCTCGTCCAGCAGATGGGTTTTACAGGCGTCCAGAATTGCCTTGAGTCTGCCAAATCAATAATTTCCACTGTCCATACCATAACCTCATCAGGAGGCTGGCGTCGTGGCCTTCTTGGGGCCTGGAACTACTCGCTTTACTATAGTAGGTCTACAACTATGCCTTGGAAAGGCTTTTATCGCTAACCCTCTTTGTTTTTTTTCTTTCTTCTCACCAGCCTTCAACGCCGGACTCGTCATCTTCGGGGCCCTTTTCATCTCATCCAAAGAAAGTCAGCACAACCCAGAACAATGGCGCATCATTGAGAGTTCCCGACCATACCTTGATCTCGCAGCAGATGCTTTGAGGCATTTGGATTCGGGTAATAGAGTTATCGAGCGATGTGTCGAATATTTGACTCAATTGTCCATGGTTCTCAAAGCTACCAGTGAGTTTCTTCATTTCATTCCGATCAATCATTGGTACTCAAGTGCTGACCAAGGAGTAGCTTCAGGTGAACAGACCATTCCTCGTATCCCTGCCGGCCCTCACCTGCCACTGCCCGTTCCAGATATGATTCCTCCGCACAATGCAGACTACCCGATGTGGTCCAATGTAGACCTTGGTGAATTTATGATGGACAATGATCTTGATTTCCTGGGCCGAATGTTCAATTTCAATCATTCTCATGACGCCCCAATTTAGCCGGTCTAACGAATCAATGGTGCATGTGGAAGATGGGTTTTTTGTGGGAGTATTGCTCATTCGCGTGTCACTTTCTTGGAAATTATATGGGTTTCCGATCTACCTTTTTTCAAACGTTTTTATCTCGGGACATTTTCTTGGATTCAAAAAGTACCTATTGTCTTGCTCTATTTTTGAACAGACTGAAAGAATCGATGAGATCCGTATCGGACACTGCGATCCTAAGCTGTGGAGCGATTTACCTATGTGCTTTGTGGTACTACTATTGAGCCTGCAAAGGTAGATGTATCTCAATTAACAATGGTTTCTTTACTTCTCACGTGTTCATTTTGCTACATACTGTCTCTTCCCAGTATCTCTGCTTCAGGTCAACCCCGAGAATTAGATCCCCTAGAGTTATACAAATCATGAAAAATTCATTACCTCGCAAGGATGATGGCAGGGTTACATAAACACGTCTAAGGAGTAATCAATGCTTCGTGGTCTGACACTTATATCAAAATGCTAACGAAGAATGCCTTTCCTACATGACCGAATCCAAGCAGGGATATTCCCCAGGGCACACGGTATCTCTACGGGGGGCCGCATGAAATCAAAGAAACCCATCTGCTTCAGATCTGGAACGTGTATCTCATCAATGATCAATGGTGGTCAGGGGAGGAATCACATAGAAGCCGAGCCGGGGGGGGGGGGGGGGGCCAGGAAGCCGGGCAATGGAATTTGCAAAGGAGAAACAAGGGCCAAAAAAAAAAACAACCAAATAAAGCAAAAGGGTGGTTAAAAAGAACAGAGGGGGAAGGGAGAAAAGGAGGGAGGAAAATAGAACTAAAAAAAGGGGAAATTGGTTTCTAGCGCTGCAAAGTCGAAGGAATTGTGGTAAATTAGGACCACAGGCGGTCCCAGTCGGGTAGAAGTAGAATTGAACGAGAAGCCTCCAAAACCACGGTGATGCATATCGAATGTCCCGGGATCAAGGTAGGGGGGTGGGCTTTCTGCGTGGGATTTTTTTCTTTCCCTTCTCTCCCCGACCGAATGAAGCTATGCAGTCTTCAATCCCGGCAGACTTGCACAGAAAGGGTATCACTTTTTCCTCCCAAGTGTGTCGCAGACACCTCAAAATAATAAGAACTCCAGGCCATGACCTTTCCACCGTTGCGTGACAATCATCAGCATCCCATGCCCCCATCTCCAAAAAAAAATCAGATCCAAGTTTGTCCGCTCAGCCATGAAAAAGGACATTTCCACTTTTTCCCATCGTTTCTCCTTCACATAACTCCCTGACAGATGTTGCAGTCCCGTCATATGACCAGCTGGTTCAATAAGAGATATATGAAAAACCCAGCAAGGCCTGTGTGCTCTCTCCAGTGTAGAGTGCTACTCAAAACATGATGGTACTCGGTCGATAGATCCTCGAGAATCTCTCACGCGCTGTGCGGAAGGCACTTACGAACAGATGTCTCTCGTTGAGATATTAACCCTCTCAGTCGAGATGGGCCAACATCTCCTCCTTGGCAAGTGGCTTGAAGTTGTTGATGTCGAGGCCGCGGGCTTCCAAGGCCGGACGGGCATGAGGAGGGACGATTTGTTCATTCAATTCGGGCGCGATGGAAAGTTCTGGGGAGAGATTATATGATCAGCAAAAAGAAAAGAAGAAAAGAGGTGGCGAAAGAGACTCGACGAATGGGGTCACAATGATCAAAACTTACCGTGTCGCGAGAAGTCGAAGAGAACGGGCATGTCCTTGCTGGGGTTGTTGTGGTGACGCGAATCGGGGAAGCGGGTGGCCGGATCTCGCAGCTCGTCGAAGAAGGGGTGGCACATGGCCTCGATGGCCGACAGTCGCTCCGTAGGGGTGTACTCCAGAAGTGCCGAGATCAAGTCGATGGCCTCTGGGGGGGCTTTCCGGAATACCTGGTGTTGGGTGATTAGCGTCTGAGATTTCGGGCAACCATCGGGGGTGATCGGTACCTTATTGAAGGGATGCGGCTTGATCTGAGGGAATTTGTGCTCCATGTAATTGGGATTCATGGTCCGGATCTGCTCGCGGGTGGGAGTACCAAGAACCTTGATGATTTCCACCAGCTGGTCAATTCCCGATTCACCAGGGAAGAGGGGTTGTCCCAGCATCAACTCGGCCATAACACAACCAGTTGACCATACATCTAAATCAGAAGGGAGGTAAAATTAGGCTAGAGTTCCTGACTTGCGGGGAAAATTAAATCATGGGGTGAGGAACGCACCGATCTTGGTTGTGTAGTTGGTCGCACCGAAGATCAACTCCGGAGCCCGGTAGTAGCGAGAACAGATGTAGGAGACGTTGGGTTCGTTTTCAATCAAAATCTTGGCGGATCCGAAATCACACAGCTTCAAAATTCCAGTGTTAGGGTCCAAGAGGAGATTCTGAGGCTTAATGTCTCGATGGCAAATTCCTTGGGAGTGGATGTAGGCCAGCGACCGGAACAACTGGTAGATGTAGAGCTTGACCTCCAGCATGGGCATGGTGGTCTTGAGTTTGTTGAAGTAGCGCGAGGCACGGTACACTGTTTCGGGAACATACTCGAGAACCAAGTTGAGGTACACTTCGTCTTTCTACAAGGAGGGGGGGGGAAAGAAGTTAGTCAGTGGGAACACCGGGCGGGAGGGCGATGTCAACACCTACTCGGTCGCCGTTGGAGTAGTAAAAGGCCTTCAGCTCGACGATATTAGGATGGCGCACAATCCTCATGATTTGAAGCTCACGGTTCTATCCAGACCATCAGTACCATCCTGGGGGACGTTTTCCGGGCGAATCCGCCCTTACCTTAAACCGCTTATCCTGGAGAACTCTCTTGATGGCAGCGTCCTCGCCGCTGGGGGCCATCTTGGTCTGAAAGACCACACCGAAGGAGCCATTGCCCACAATCTTACACTGGGTGTAGGAGATCTCTTTGTGCTCGCCGGTCAGGCCATCTTGGACCTTTTCGCGAATTACCTCTACAGCGGGGGGGAAGAAGTCAAGGTCAGTCTGAGAGACAAGAGGAGGTGGAAGACATGATTGCAATTGAGGTACGACTTACCACCCATGCGCAAACTTGGGAATAACCCAGGTCGACTCTGTGACATGGCGGGGAGTGCTATGGAGGAAGAGGAAAGGAACCCGTTTTGGGCGTGGTAATCGGTGGAGTCAAGCTGGGAGGGGAGGGAGGGGGTGGGCGGAAGGTCCGAACGGGGCGAGATGAGAAGAATAGGTGAATGCCAAGAATGCAGGAAAGAGGAAAAGGGAAATTCACAGTAGACGTGTATTGGTAGAAGGGGAGTAGGAGGGGACCAATAACGTCGAATTGAGGGAAAATCGAAAGGGTAAGATTGGGGGGGGGGGGGGGGGAAATTGCGTAGTAAGGAAAATTGGGTAAAGTTGGGTATTTGGGGGGGTGTTAAGGTGTTAAGGTGTGTACGGGAAAATCGTAGGATTCAGGGCGACTTTGCGGGAAAAAAGGTGACGTTGACGGGTTCAACGAAGAGGGGGGGGAGAGCACTTGAGAGAGAGAAGGGGGGGAAAATACAAAATAATAAAAAAAAAAAACTAGGAAAAGTCAAATCAAATAAGAAGGGGATTTTCAAGTGTATTTTGGGTTTTTCTTATTGGTTTTTTTTTTACTAGAAAAAAAGAGGAAATCATCTAATAAAGAAAAGAAAGAGAGTAGAAAGTAGGGGCGGGAAAGAAGTCCAATACCGCCAATTTTGGTTAGGGAAAGGGAAAGGTGATATACCTATAGATAGACTATACAGGATATTATATAAATGTTTCATAGAGGCAAAACAAGACCAAAATATAAGAGAATATAGAGAGTATGTATACTTTGACTTTTCTACCTAATTTCCTGAATATTTCTTGAATGTATATTGAAATTCAATCCCTACTCCGCCTTCTGCTTTTCTCTCCAGTATTTTTATACTATACCTGGAGATTTCCTACAATTACTGATCTAAAATCCCATTGATTCCTTATATTTCAATACAGAATGTGTGGTATAACCATTACTACACCAATATTACAGGAATGATCTCATCGATACGAGAAAAGGAGAAGGTCCAAGTGGAAGTGGTTTTGGGTTACCCGGTAATAATACCCAGATTTTACCAGATTTTACCAGATCCGAGCCTCTCTTAAAAAAAAAAGTGGATATGCTTGGTACAGAAGTCACTATATGACAGCAAAAGCCCAGACCTCTTTTTTGTTTTCTGACATGCAAGAAGAGCTCCATGACTGACAACATCCCTCTAATTTCTCCTTAGCCACCCCACTCCTTCTTGAGAGCTATTTTGGGGGGGAACATTTTAGAAAGGTCACGTTGAACGGAGATACTGATGTTCCGCGGGTCCCGTGTCGGCTGACCAGCTGTGATTTTCCCAGGAACTTCGGTGATTGGTTGAATGAAGGTACGACCTCGTGACCACCATGTCATCGAGTCCAGCTGACTACAGAGAGCGAAGAGGCCGAAGAGGCGATAGAAAGAAAATACAGAAAAGAGCTTGGGCCACCGGTGGAGCTTAGGAAAACGGATTAGTCTGAACTAGCTAAAACTTCTATACTATTTACGGTTCTAGGTCAAATGGTTCTCGATCATCTGATAGATTCCCATCAATTCCATCAATTTTTGGACGTCTTGGCTAGTGCTCCAAGCCCTGTTCATCTATGGTCCTGTAAATAGATATTTCTCCTTTCCCGGGGGCGTTTTCCCTCTCCTTTCCCCCCCCCCTTCTAATTCTTTTTTTTTGGTCGATCCAGTTTCAAAGCTTGAGCCATGCCATGCGAGATACGGCACGAACGGGACCCGGCAGCTCAGCACCGAACTGTCGATCTCCGACTTATTCGACTCGAGCATCCCAGAGTGCAGGGATTCCCTTGGCATGTGAGGTAGACAGGCTCATTCAGCCGATATCCGGCCCCGAATGATTGGGATCCCGGCCGGGGATGAGAGAAAGGTTCAAAAGTCAAAAGTCAAATAGTCTCTCTCTTT